GGAAGTGCGCGTGCTAGTCAGCCGCCATCTTGGGAATTGGCGCCAGCTGGTTGTCAATTGGTTGTAATCCGAAGCCCTGGAAACATCTCCCGCCAGAACTCCCCCAGTCCCGTCCTTGAAAATATTTTCAGCTACCCGCAGTGGCGAAATCCAATCAGGGACTCCCGTGCGTACTTTTCCAAACGTTCTGTTGCCCGGTTTGTGCTGCAGCAGCGGTGTTCTTCGAGGTTACTTCCCGCCCCATCTCCACTTTTCCCCCTCCTTCCTCTCTTTCCCCTTCTCTCCCCTCTCCCTTCCCTTTCCTTACCCTACATCCATCATCACCACGCTCGACATATCCCCCCCTTTCCCTCTCTCCTTCCCCTTTCCCCCCTATTCCCTCCCCCCCCTCTCTCAGTGTTCTTTCGTCTTGCACACGCATATCTCAGACGTTGTCCTATCTATCCATTCATTGCACCTCGCTGATGCCTCTTTCCCTGCCAGACGTTTCTGCCCATCCCACGGTGATAATTGTCCTCTCCTATTGTCGCCTTGGTTTCATGGTGTGGCATTGACAGCTGGTTGCTTATTGATGCTTGCACTAAGCACTCCCTAGCTCTAACGTATGCTCTTCAGCCGATTTGAGCTACGCAGGTATAGGAGTGGGGCCTTCATTCATATATTTTTGTCTTCAAGTCGTTTTTTAGTTAGGTATTAGAGTGGTTATACAGGTAGTTCTGTTTTTTTTTTTTTTTTTTTTTCTTTCTCTCTCTCTCTCTCTCTCTCTCTCTCTCTCTCTCTCTCTCTCTCTCTCTCTCTCTCTCTCTCTCTCTCTCTCTCTCTCTCTCTCTCTAAATCGACGGCTGGAAGTAGAATTGTACTCTTTTCCTGCTTATTTCCTCCCTTTGCGACTCGAAGTTTTTATCTGCCATCGTGAAGCAGCGTAGCCGTAGGCGGACCAGCCCAGACCGAAGCAATGCTGCGAAACCGCGAAACTTCGCAGACTTTTGGCGCCACTTTCGTGCAGCAGTTTGCGAACGCAGAGGACGACCTCGACCACAGCAGGGCAGCCGGGGGAGCAGGCGGTGCCGGGACCGCCGCCGCCGCATCCGGCGGTGGCGGTGGCGGCGGAGGGAGAGTCACAGCGTCCGGCGCCATAGAGCTCAGCGTAAGAAGCGGAGAAAAGGACGAAAAGGATTCGGATAGAGAGGATTCATCCCATTCGCACCATGGGAAGAGCCGAGCAGCGGAGTGGACGCGAGAGGTTGGGAGAGACATGGGCCGCGATTGGAATAAAGAGCGGGAGTGGGGGCGACCGCCAGCAAGTTCCTCCGCAGGCGGAGATAGGACGACAGGAGGTGCGGCGGGAGGCGCGGCGGGAGGCGCGGGGAGAGATACGGGTCGGGAAAAGCCTAAAGTGGTGGACGACACATTAGAAGACGACGATGATAGCCCTGCCGACCCGGAGGTGCTGTCGAGATGGAAATATGGCACGCCTACGTCAGCTTGGTATGCGACGCGCTTTAATAAGCGCAGGCGAAACCCCTGGGCAAGCGGTGGTCACGGTGCCGGCGCTAAGAGCGGGCGGGGAGGGATTCTAAGCTTTTCACTTAGCGCGGTGGATTTGGTGCTGCTGCTGCTGTTGATGCTGCTGCTGGTGTACGTTCACGAACAGGACCATCGCGGGTGCGACGTTTTCGTTGACGACCTCGAGTTTTTGCGAAAACAGTTGTTTCACTGTAGAGCGGAGAGTTTTGACCTAAAGAAACAGCTCAATAACGCGTACCGCGGCCGTGCGTGGTCCGCGTGGCAGCACTGCGCCGCCAGTCCCGCGCAGATGTCCGCCTATTACAACTACACCCCTGGCAGCACGTGCCCGCCCGTAACAGTTTCGGTTACCAGCGAAGCTAGTGGCGGCTCCCGCGCATTTGAGAATGGTATGGCGCAGCCGCCGCGGCAGCAACTTCAGGGAGAAATTCAGGAACAGCAACAGAAGCAGCGCTCAGAGCAGTCAGGCCAGTCAGGCCAGTCAGGGCTAGCACGTGAACAGTGGGAGCTGCCGCCGAGCTCTATACTAGACGAGGCTTTGCTCTTCGACGCGCGATGCCTCGACCTCCCCCGCCGCGCATGCTTCTCCGATTCCTCTCCTCTCTCGCCCTCCATCGCCGCAACTACCGCCGCGGACATGGTTTCGGGGGACGCCACGGTTGCCACCGCAGCCGGTGGATCTGCCGAGCCGCCGTTGCGGGAAGCGGCGAGGTGGACAATTCCCGACGTGAGGAGCATAGCGTGGGAACCGTACGGCCCGTGCCGCGACTGGGAGTGCCTCATGGAGCAGGAGGAGCAGGCTGAGCGCGCCTGGCGCGGAGATGGGGATGCCGGTGGCGTTGGTGGTGGCGGTGGTGGTGACGATGGCGGGGATAGTGGTGGCGATGGTGCAGGCGTGACCAGGGGGGATTTGGCAGGGGAGGGGATGTTGGGTGGGGTGGAAGGCGGGGAGGCGGAGGGTTTGGAGATTGGACGGTTGGGGTTGCCTGCTGCTGTGCGCGGGTGTTTGGTGTCGTGCTTTAACCTGTCCAAGGCCAGGGAGAGAGGAGCTCGTGGAGCATACGGGGGCTACAGTGGTTTTGCGGAGGGTTCAGGGCTGTATACGCAGACAGTGCCGGAAGGGGCAGCAGCAGCAGCAGCAGCAGCAGGAGAAGCAGCAGCAGGGGCAGCAGCAGGGGCAACAGGAGCAGCAGGGGCAGCAGCAGCAGGCGCGTGGGGGATGGATGCGGTGTTGGCAGTGAAACCACCAGGAGGTATTCGAGTGGGGGTCGACATCGGAGGGGGCACCGGGAATTTCGCTGCACTCATGGCAGACCGGGGCGTTACGGTGGTTACCACTGCGTCCAACCACGGTGCCCCTGTAATGGAAGTGCTAGCACACAGAGCCCTCGCAGCCCTTCACCTCCCTCCCACCGCCCGCTTGCCTTTGTCGGACTTGTCGTTAGATTTGATTCACTGTGCGTTTTGGCCGGCAATGCTTGCACACCCGCCGGCATTGGAGTCTGTTTTGTATGACTGGGACCGAGTGCTCCGCCCTGGGGGGCTGCTGTGGCTGGAAATGGTGCCTTTTTCCCGGCCGTTGATCCGGAAGATCCTGGCCGTTGCTGAGGTGGCGCAGTGGAAGAAGCTGAAGTGGGCGAAGGTGGTGGCTGGTGGGGGGAGTGGAGGTGGGGGAGGGAGTGGAGTGGGGGGTAGTGGAGGGGGAAGTGGTGATCATGGGCCTTGGTTGCTGAATGTGCTGTTTGAGAAGCCTATGAAGAGAGTAAGGGAGGAGAGGAGGGCAATTGCTGTGATGAGTTGAAGGCTAGGTCGAAACGTGAACGGGGTTTTCTCTGTGGCTGTGTTGTGTACAGAGGATGCCTAGTGGCATGTGACACCAAGGAAATATCAGCAGCTGATGATTAGTGATCTATTGGCAACCGTGTTTATGATATATGTCTGCTCTATTGCGTAGAGTGTATAGCATTACTCGCACAATTGGAAAACCGTTGCACCGACATTTTTTTCCTAGTCGCATCGTTTGCGGTCAGCCTGTTCTGAACTAAACTAGAACGTGGACGATTCCTACGGCCTAACATAAAATTTTGGCGGCTTCTGGGGACAGCTGCTTCGGAAATTCATGTTGCGCTGCTGCCCGGCCTTCTGCCCTCCCTCTAGCGTGAATTCCAAGCGCAGCGAAACGACAGGCCGAACGTGCATCAAGAAATTTGTGCACGACCACACTGGAAATTTTGAAAGAATCACATCACATCTTCCCCCCTCGCCAAAACCTCGAGAGCGGAAGGGCGAACTGGGCGAGGTTCGACCTACCGCCAATTGCGGGGAGTAGAATCTGTGGCAGAGCCAAGCCGCATTTCTGAAAAATTCCGGGCCGCATCTTGCGATCCGCCAAGCTCCACAATTGACGCCAGCTACATTGACGAATTGCGCAAATTTGGAATCCGCTGGAGGGGGAGAGAAGAGAGATAGAGACGAGGGAGAAAGACCGTTTCTCCCATCAAGAAATGGCACCATTGCTGCCCTGCCCTTCCTTTCATTCTCTCCCCATCGGCACACCCCTTCGAAATGCTACTTCCCGACACTCCAAACCAAACCAAACAGAGGTGACATACGCAAGCCACTCAAACACAATCAACAAGCACGTCACTTCCGGAGCTTACAAGCCAGTCTTGTCCGTCCCGTTGCAGCGCCCTCATCGTGTTGCTACTCAGCTTTCCGATAGCTCCACTCCTACCTCTCATTTCACCATAACGAAATTTTAGACGACTTACCTCCAGCTACCATCCTTCTCTGTAGCGCAAAATCAGGCCAGAATCTACCTCGTTGCTGGTTGTTCTTTGAGGTAACGGTTTGAGAAATTTAGTCACCTTGTATATCCGCAGAAATCTCAGCTGCATGTCGAAACGGTGACTCGTCGAATGGATTGTCCAAACCTCAGTCCAGCGTTTTCGAGCGGAAATAGCAAATCGGTTAGCAAGGTCGCTTATAGCGACCCTTCGATCAGTCCCCCAACCTCCCAGTTTACTTCCTCCGCCTCCACAACCCCTCCGGAGTCCCCTTTCGGCGCGGATGGGCCCAGACATAGAGGATCTAGAACCACTTCATCTGAGAGCAATGACGTCGGGAACGATCTTTCTGTTACCTCGTGCGACGAGCCGTGCGACCAGTCGCTCTCGCCCCCGTCCGCGGAGCGGCGACGTCGTAGGTTTCGCACGTCGTTCGTCACGCAAGCGGACGCCTTGTTTCGCAAGAACGTTGCATACCAGCGCCGCAACTGGGGCACGAATGCATGCATCGTCAGCCTCCCCGCCCTCCTATGCATCGTTCTACAAGCCCTCCAAATCCTACTTGATAACGTTATGATGTCAACCTACAAATGCGGATGCGGCTGTCCCAAGGAATTCAGGCTACCTGATTCCACCTGCCCACCTGAGAAAATCACCTGCGGCCCGGAGTACTCCACCGCGTCGCAGATGCCCTTCTGCGCCGTCCCCGCGCCGCCCATGTGGCCGGCGTTTGCGCAGGTGCCGCCGAATGCGGCCAGAGCAGCCGCTCCGCCCGGGGTGGGCGCTTCGTTGGGGCTTCCGCCAGCCACGTGTCGGTCTGAGGGTGGCCAGAGCTGTCCTACGGTGATTCTATACACGGGACAAAATCGAACCGCTGCTGAGGGTAACTTCCTCTGAGTACCCCCTGAGTTCGTCTCTTTTATGTTTTCTTAGCCCCTGAGTTTTGTGTAGTCTGTAGTGTTCTTTACACCGCTATCTTCTTCCCTCGCAATTCCCAGTTCATTTTCCAACCCGCCCCCTTCCTCCCTGCTCCCTTCCCGCCCCATATTCCATCCCGCAATCCACGTCAGCAATGGCGTCACTTCTCGTACCTGACGTGCTCTACACGTCACTTAGGTCTGTCCGGAAACATCCAAGCACTTTCCTCTCCACGAATGATACCGTGGCTGTCGCCACATCTCACGCTAACCCTCTTCCGCCAACCACCTCGGTCTCCGCTCCGCCTCTGTCCGTCCCCGTGGGCGGAACAAAGCCGCTGCTTCGCGGACAATCTGGAGGATTGGCGGAGACTCTCTCCGCGCCGGGGCTGGGAGGGGCGCAACCCACGGGGGGAAGCGGGTCTGTTGCGGGGATGGCGGAAGCCGTTGGGGGAAAGGGGCAGGGGAACAGGGGAAGGGGGAGGGGAAGGAGGCAGGTGGCGAAGCACGACGTGCGAAAACGCCTGAACGAAATGGTTACAATAGCGGGAGTGGAGAACGCAGTATCGCGGATGCTTAAGAGGCAGAAAAGAACAGACGCACGAAATCTGCAACAGATCAGCATAATCAGGGGCAACAGCAGGAGCAGCCGTAGCAGCGTCACCAGCAGCAGCTGGTTTAGCGATTCACACAAGGAGAAACAGAACGGCCAGGAACCGGGATTCCGGAGATTAATTCGGGAGCGGAAAACACGCAGCTACAACAAACAGAAACAGCAGCGCAACACGACAGCCGGGTACTGGGTCCCGTCGTATGTATACGACCTGTCCCAGGTAACACCTGGAACGGCAACCTACCCCGGATGGAGCCTGTTGCTGGAGGAGGCGGTGTCGCCCGTGGGGTGGCAGGCCAACTCGTCGCTGCTGCTGCTGCTGCCGCAGTGCCGCGGGAATATGCGCGGCTTCACGGTCAACGCGACGCTTGCCGATGCTATCACGCTCCCCGTCCGTAAGTGATGCGCCCATACTGATGTTGCCACCCTTCCGTGCGTAAGTGATGAGAGGCATTCATTAGCAGTGCCGCGGGAACATGCGCGGCTTCACTGTCAACGCGACGGTCGCGGATGCTATCACGCTCCCCGTCCGTAAGTGATGTTTACGGCGTTTTGTGGGTAGTGTTGTGGTATCCTGCTGGGTAGTGTTTATGACTTCTGCGAATTCTCCAAGTTGCTCCCTCTTCTACCCCTCACCCGCGATTCACCCTCCCCTCCCAACCCCTCCCAACCCCTCCCAACCCCTCCCAACTCGTCCCATCCCCTCCCCTCCACTCCTTTCCCCCCACCATCTCTTTCTCGTCATATCTGCTCATTGTAACAGGAGTGGAGTGCGTAGATGTAGACACGGTGTGGCGGGACACGCAAACGGATATCGACTCAGAAGTGTATGCAGGCCACTATCAGGCGAATCCTGAGCAAGCCACTAACGCGTACACAGCAGCCTTTGACTTCCAGGACACGGGCCCGACTCGTTATAACCCTGTGATTCAGTATAACTCGTCGTACAACAACGCCAGTATCGGCGGCACCCCCGCCACGCTCCTCCGCTTCGCTCGCCTCCTTAACCTCGCCTCAAACGCGTTTATCAAGTCCTTCCATAGCGGGGATGAACTAAACACTGCTTCTGCACCAGCAACAGCACCAACACCAGCAGTAGCACCGGCAGAGATTCCTTTGCTATTTGTCAAAGACTTTCCAAAAGTGGAAACCACGTTGGGCGTGGACTTTGTATCGCTCCTCGGCCCTCTCTTTTACATGTGGGTGCTGCAGCTGCTCCTGCCAGTGATGACCGTGGCACTGGTGTACGAGAAGGAGCAGCAGCTGAGGATAATGATGCGCATGCATGGGCTCAAGGACGGGCCGTACTGGCTCGTCTCGTACCTCTACTTCCTCCTGCTCTCCCTCGCCTATATCTTCTTCCTTGTCGCCTTCGGCTCGCTCATCCGTACGTTCCCCCTCTCCCCCTCTCCCCCTCTCCCCCCTCGTACTCACCCCGTGCACTGCATACCATCACTCTTCACTTCCTCCTGCTCTCCCTCGCCTATATCTTCTTCCTTGTCGCCTTCGGCTCGCTTATCCGTACGTCGTGGGAAGGTCGTTGTAGGTGGATTTTGAGTCGCTTATCCGTACGTTTTTTTGGTAAGTTCCCATGATCTGCTGTCGGTGCTGCTGTTGTGCGGAATGAACATCTAGTTCTGGTGCTTGGCGTGGGGACAGTGGGAGGGTAGAGGGGCAACACCCAGACAATCGCTCCACCCTCTACCTTTCCCCCCTCACTTCAGCACACAGCTCAAACCACTTCATCACTTCAGCACAGAGCTTGTTTTTTAGTAGACTCAAAAATACAATCTCTCCACCTTGGACGTCCCTCTACCTTTCCCCAGAGCTCAAACCACTTCATCACTTCATCACAGAGCTCGAATCCTTCACGCTCAACCCATACGGTCTACAATTTCTCCTCTACATCGTGCCAGCCAACACACAAATCTTATACTCATCCCTTCCCCATTCACCCACCCTCCCACCTTCTCCCGCAGAGCTGAAGTGCTTCACCCTGAACCCCTACGGCCTACAGCTCCTCCTCTACATCGTGAGCGCTAACACACAGATCGCACTCGCCATGCTGCTCTCTACAGCCTTCGCCCACACGCGCCCCGCCACCGCCACCACCTACCTCTACGTCTTCACATCAGCGCTCCTCGGCCAGTTCCTCTACCGCAATCTGCTTGAGTCCGGCTCCTACTCAAGTGAGTTTCGTGGATTTCCTTCCTTTTCTTTGGCGCCTTGCCACACGCACCCCCCCACCGCCGCCACCTACCTCTACGTCTTCACCTCTGCACTGCTCGGCCAGTTCCTCTATCGCAATCTGCTCGAGTCCGGCTCTTACTCCTGTGAGTATCGCCATCCCATGGCCAGGGATGAGGTGAGTACAGGGCCCTTCTCTGGTGGTGACACGAATTTTTTGTCGGCTAGAATGAGTCGTGCTCTGACTCAAGTGAGCAACGCCAGAGAACACGGGCCTTCTATTGTTCTATGTCTTCGCCTCTTCCCAGCGTTCGCCCTCTATCACAGCGTTCGCCCTCTATCACAGCGTTCGCCCTCTATCACAGCGTTTATGAGCCTGATTTACTCCCTTTTCCTCCTCTTCCTTCCTTCCTTCTCCCCTCCCTTCTCCTCTCCCTCTCACCCCTCACCCCAGCTACATTCATGACTGCTCTACAGCTCTTCCCAGCGGTCATGCTCAACCACCGGGTATACGAGTTAACTCTATCCCTCTCATTTCCGTTTCCTCTCTCCCTCTCTTCTTCCGCCCCACCTCCTTCCTTCCCTCCCCCAGCCACATTCATGACTGCTCTACAGCTCTTCCCAGCATTCATGCTCAACAACGGGGTCTACAATCCTTGGTTTTTGAGTCGACTCAAAAGCAATCAACAACGGGGTCTACAATCCTTGGACTCACTCCTTCCTCCTTCTCCCTTCCTACTCCCCCCTCTCTCCCTCCCACCAGCCACATTCATGACTGCACTGCAACTCTTCCCAGCGTTCGCACTCTACCACGGGGTATACGAGCTAACACAGTCGTCTTTAATAGGCTCCTACCAGGCCTCTCAGGGCACTCTCACCTGGGCCACCGCCGCCACCAATGGTTACCTGACAGGTGTCGTGATCCTGGCCGTCGAATGGCTGGTGTTCCTGCTGCTCGCGATCTACCTGGATCAGGTGGTTTCGGCGGGTAGTGGGGTGAGGAAGCATCCTCTCTTCTTCCTCCGCGGGTGCAAGAGCGGCTGCCGGAAGCTTCTTGGCTCGCTTAAGAAGGTGCTGCAAAGCTGCAGGATTGGAGGGGACGCCCGGGTGCATGCGGCCTTCCAGGAAGGTTCCTGGAGAAATGAAGAAGGAAAGGAGTGGAAAGCAGGGGCGGCGGGGAGTGGGAAGGCGGAGTGGGGGGAAGGGGAGGTGGGAGGAGGTGTTGTGGGCGCGGGGCATGGGACAGACGTGGGGGAAGAAAAGGAGAAGGCGAAAGGGTGTTTGGACCGATTTGATGTGGATCTAGAGGTGAGCGCTGATGGGGTGAGGTGTGTGAGTAGAGGACTTATGAGGTGAGTGCTGCGATGAGGTGAGTGCTGCGATGAGGTGAGTGCTGCGATGAGGTGAGTGCTGCGATGAGGTGAGTGCTGCGATGAGGTGAGTGCTGCGATGAGGTGAGTGCTGCGATGATGTGAGTGCTGCGATGAGGTGAGTGCTGCGATGAGGTGAGTGCTGCGATGAGGTGAGTGCTGCGATGAGGTGAGTGCTGCGATGAGGTGAGTGCTGCGCTGAGGTGAGTGCTGCGCTGAGGTGAGTGCTGCGATGAGGTGAGTGCTGCGATGAGGTGAGTGCTGCGATGAGGTGAGTGCTGCGCTGAGGTGAGTGCTGCGCTGAGGTGAGTGCTGCGCTGAGGTGAGTGCTGCGCTGAGGTGAGTGCTGCGCTGAGGTGAGTGCTGCGCTGAGGTGAGTGCTGCGATGAGGTGAGTGCTGCGATGAGGTGAGTGCTGCGATGAGGTAAGTGATGAGGTGAGTCGCTCGAGGGGAGTGGCATGCTGGGGCCGAACGGGGCGTGGGGGGAGTGCTAGGGACTCAACCATCTCTCCTCTCTCCTCCCACCACCCTCCCTCTGCCCCTTGTCCATCCCCCCCCCCTGCAGAAGCGCAAAGTGCAGCATCTCCTGCACACCGGCACCACACCCGACCCCTCAGCACACCACAGCATTCTCTGTGCCGGCCTCTCCAAGGTCTACCCCAGCAGGGACGGCGGGGCGCCCAAGGAGGCAGTGGCCGGCATGTGGCTGGGGGTGGCGCGAGGGGAGTGCCTGGGCGTGCTAGGGCCGAACGGGGCGGGCAAGACAACAGCGCTGCGCATGATGATGGGGTTTTTGCAGCCCAGTGGGGGGACGGCGATTATCGAGGGCATGGGGATTGCCGAGGAGATGGACAGCATCTATTCGATCATGGGCGTGTGCCCGCAGCACGAGTGAGTTTAGTGCGGTTGAGAGTGGTTTGGTGCGGCTTTGGTGTGGTTTGAAGGGCGTGCTTGGGCACTCTGGGGGCGAACGGGGCGGGCAAGACGACGGCACTGCGGATGATGATGGGGTTCCTGCAGCCCAGTGGGGACACGGCGGTTATCAAAGGCATGGGGATTGCGGAGGAGATGGACGGGATTTACTCCATCATGGGTGTGTGCCCGCAGCACGAGTGAGTCTTGTTTGACTGTCGTGAGTGTGGTTCGGAAGGGTTGAGAGTGATTTGGGGTTAGCCTGGTGTGGTTGGATGTGCGTGTGGACGAACCTTAGAGGGCATGGGGATGGGACCTACTCCATCATGGGTGTTTGCCCGCCGCACGAGTGAGTCTAGGGTGGTTGAGCGTGGTTTGGAGGGGCTTTGGTGTGGTTTGAAGGGAGTGGGGCATGCTGGGGCCTAATGCTTGTTTGCCCTCCAGCAAGACTGAGGACGCGGTAAAAGTGCTCGGCTGGGGGGAGATCAATCCGGTCACCGCACTGAAACCCCGCGTTTTGCATACGAAAGATACACAACCGTTTATAACCGTGCTAAAAAACGATCCTGAGGCGATCGATTCTCCACTTTAACCGCGTCCTGAGTTTCTCTCTCTCTCCATTCCCTATCCCTTTTCCTGTCTCAGTCGTTCAATCACATCTCCTTTCCTCCCTACACTGCCCCATAGGTTCATCCCTTTTCTCCCCTTTCCTTCCCCCTCACCCCTCCCTCGTTCCTATCCTCTCCCCCCTCTTCCAGCCTCCTATGGGAGCAGCTGACCAGTCGAGACCACCTTCTCTTCTACGGGCGGCTCAAGAATTTGCATCACTCTCAGAAGCCGTAGAGGCATCCCTATCAGGAGGGCACCTACTGAGAGAGGCAGACAAGCCAGTGCAGCAGTACAGTGGCTGCATGAAGCAGCAGCGGTCAGTCATTTTTGACATCTCTTACTGGAGGCCCTCTTACCCCTCCCCCCTTCCTCTTCCTTCCTCTCTCCCCACCCTCACCACAGCCTTCTATGGGAGCAGCTGACCGGTCGGGAGCACCTCATGTTCTACGGGCGGCTGAAGAACCTGCGAGGCTCAGCACTAACATCAGCCGTGGAGGCGTCCTTATCAGGGGTCCACCTACTGAAAGAGGCCGACAAGCCAGTGCAGCAGTACAGCGGCGGCATGAAGCGGCGCCTGTCGGTCGCTATATCGCTTATCGGAGATCCTCTTGTGGTGTACATGGACGAGCCCAGCACGGGGCTCGACCCCTCGTCCAGGATGCACCTGTGGAACGTGGTGAAGCGAGCAAAGAAGCACTGTGCAATCGTGCTCACGAGTGAGTGTGTGTGAGACAGGCTAGCGTCTCTGAATGTGGGGAGGGAGAGGGGGGGAGGGGGGGGGGGGGGGGGGTGTTGGACTCTGGTACACGGACGAGCCCAGCACGGGGCTGGGCCCCTCGTCGAGAATGCACCTGTGGAACGTGGTGAAGCGGGCGAAAAAACACTGTGCGATCGTGCTCACGAGTGAGTGGTTGTCAATGCAGGGTATTGGGTAGGTCTTACATGGGGGGTTGCGTGGGGTTGTTGTGTACATGCACGAGCCCAGCACGGGGCTGGACCCCTCATCCAGGATGCACCTGTGGAACGTGGTGAAGCGGGCGAAAAAACACTGTGCTACTGTCTTGACAAGTGAGTGGTTGTCAAAGGGAAGCTGTTGGGTGGGCCTGTGGATGGAAGCAGGTGCTTCCCTCTTGTGGTCTACATGGACGAGAGCCCAGCACGGGGCTGGACCCCTCGTCAAGAATGCACCTGTGGAACATGGTGAAGCGGGCTAAGAATAATCGTGCAATAGTGCTCACGAGTGAGTGGGGTTGTGCTAGCTTGTGGCATGGTGGGCGGGGGTGTGTGTGTACATGCATGAGCCCAGCACGGGGCTGCTAGACCCATCGTCCCAGATGCATCTGTGGAACGTGGTGAAGCGAGCGAAGAAACAGTGTGCCATTGTGCTTACAAGTGAGTGGGGTTGTGCTAGCTTGTGGGATTCTGGGTGGGTGGGAGAGCCTTGTACATGGACGAGCCCAGCACAGGGCTGCTAGACCCATCATCCAGGATGCATCCGTGGAACGTGGTGAAGAAAAGGCAAAGAAGAATTGTGCCATTGTGCTCACGAGTGAGTGTGTGTGCTAGCTTGTCCCTTGACACCACTAAAGTGGACCATGAGGCTGCTGCTGCTGCTGTCTCCCTGCCCTTCCCCTCATCATTCTCTTTCACTTCCCCCCTTCGCCGTGCCCCACTTCTCCGTCTGATCTCCCCCCCAACCCTCTCAGCTCACTCAATGGAGGAAGCAGACGCACTGTGTGACCGGATGGGCATATTCGTGCGGGGGAAGTTCGTTTGTATAGGAAGTGCACAGGAGCTCACAGCACGGTACGGGGGTCGCTTCATCTTCACCCTCACCACTCCCGTGGACTACGAAGCTGCAGCTGCACAGCTGGCACTGTCCCTGTCTGTCAACGCTAGGAGAATATACAACCTATCGGGCACCCAAAAGTTTGAGCTGCCCGTGGAAGATGTGAGTGGGCATGGGTGGGTGGGCCTGCTTGCATCACAATACGTTGCTGCATACATAGCATTAAGTCTTTGCTACCGTGGGTTCGGTTCCTTGCTTGGGTGTTCTGGGTCGTTCAAACTTTGATCCTGCAGGAGAAAAACATTGCTACGTGAGTTTGGTTCCCAGCGAGTGCTTTCCCTTGCTAGTTCATTCTAGCCATCTGCTTGCCTTTCCTTTCCCAGACCATTCCTGCACCACTATCCATAACCTTCCCCCCTTCCTGAACCCCGGGCATGAATCCTGCCCCTCTGCTGCAGGTGAGGATATCTGACGTTTTTGCAGCAGTGCAAGCAGCCAAGGGGACCATGCCCATACAGGCATGGGGACTAACCAACTCTACCTTAGAGGACGTGTTTATTAAAGTGGCCAGGCAGGCTCATGCTAATGTGGTATAACAACTCACATGCACCTTGCATGTTCATCCCACCATTAATTGCATTCATTCATGTGAGGATGTAGTCTCTCTGAGAGTGAGTTCTGAGAATCATTCGGTGGGCCAATGGCTAGTTAATCTGGCAAAAGACAAGCGTGGTAATCACAGCCATTTTCAGAGCTCACTACACTTGTCATTAGAACAGGAACGGTTGTACCTCAAAGGCTTACAGCCTCTTGACACCACCTACTGTACATGCACATGCATTCCACAGGCTCGCTTACTCGTTTGGTTTGCTGTGGTGAGTCCCGTCCTCAGCAGCACTACATTTAAAACAGGAGTACAAGTTGCAGACGTGTACCTTCCTCCTCCCTGCACTCCACTTCAGCCTCGCACTGATCCTAGACAGACCCTTCGTGGTTGCCTTGCCTTCGTAGTTGAGTCCCTTCTACAGCCCATCCAACCTCTGATAAGTACCAGCTTGCTACCTCTGAGACGCCCCGGCACTCAATTTCCTCCTGCCAGCACTCCTCTTCAGCCTCGCACTCGCAATCAGCTGCCTCATCTCGTCATCCACCCCCCCTTCTTCTTCCTCCTCTCCTTCTCCCTTCCTTCCTCCCCCTCCCACCCCCTCTGCCCGCTTCCTCCTCTCCTCTTCCCTCCGCCTCTTTTGCTGCTCAATGTACCAAAGCTGTTGCTGCTGGACGTCCGTCAGCCCGGGCCCGTACCTGTCCCTGACCGAGCCTGGCTTGCCGAAGCTGCTGCTCAGGTTCGGCGTCCGAGCCTCGAGGAGAGCCGTGGAGAGCTGCTTGGCCGCGTTCTGAGCCTTGTCTGTCGCGAGGGAAGCGTCTGGGAAGGCGCCTTCGGGAAACTGATAGGACAGCCAGAGATAGAGTGATGCCACCTGACGGGAGAGTGGAAGGGCGTGAGTTGGGGTGGAAAGGGGTGGGTAGGGATGGAAGGGGGTGGGAAGAGTGGGAAGTTGGGAGGGAAATGGGGCAAGACAAGGCGAGCTGAGAGTACGTGTGAGATGGGAAGGGTGAGGTCAGAAGCGCCTCACATCCGAAGCAACAACCACGCGAGCAGTCCTATGAGATGGCACGCACCTGGTGCTTTGTCTCCAATGCCATGAGATCCGAAGCAGCAGTTCTCTGCCACGTGCCGCGCACCCATTGGCCCGCCGAATCTCCCCCCGGCCTCCCCTTGCCCCCCTCCCATCCTCCACTCCTCTCCTCGTCCCCCAATTTCTCCTCCTCGCCCCGTCCACCCGATAAAAGCGGCACGGGCTTGCCCTCGGCATACTGGTGGGCGAATCTCAGGAGGGCGGCCATCACGGTGGGGTCTCTGGCATTGGCTGGTGCTGAGCAGAAGGCAAAGCGATCGCGGAGGGTCAGACCCTTGATCTTGTCCAGCATGGTTGCCACGCGCTGGGGAGTAAAAAGAGGGGGTCGGGGGAAATGAGAGCGGGATCGGGGATAGCATGGAATCGGGCTTTAAGCCTTCTTGCGTTGAAGTCGGTGCCATTCGGTGGGGGAGGGAAGGGGAGGCGAAGTCATGGAAGAAAGAACGGCATGGAAAGGAAGCAATGTGTAGCAGAAAGCCATACTGCAAAAGCAATGGTTACCCGGATGTTGTCAGTGCGGCAGAGAAAGTAGGTGCCGTCTAGCTTCGATGTCTCCACGAATCTGAAGCACGGGGCACACAGCAGGCAGGCAGTTGGAAGGGCAGGAGAGGAGGCTAAGTGAAACTGCGCAACGTGTGTGTGTGTGTGTGGTGGCAGCTGTTCAGTGGTGACTGATGTGAAATGTGAAAACGTGAAGCATGGAGTGGGATAGAAAGGAGGAGATGATTCCTTTGCAGAGTCACATCTCAATACAGTCACACACGACTCAGGTCTTACCTGTCAAGCAGCCTTGCAAAGGACACGTCAGGCAGCTGACTGGCGAACACCTCCACCTGGCGTGGTGATGAGGGGTGATGGGGGTGACGAACGATTTTTTTTTTTTTTTTAAATAGAAGGCTTTTCACTCTATCAGGGATACAGCAAAAGGGCCACAGTCGTAACTGTTGCAAGGAGGGGGGCAATAACACACAGTGAGGGAGCCGCCCCTCAAGAGCATCTACGGCGGCTTGAATCTGGCCCTTCGGTCCGTCCAGATGGAAAGGAACTCATCGCGCCACGTAAGCCTGCTGGCCATCTTCGTGCTGACGTTTTCCAGCGCTGCAACCTCATCTTTGTCCAGAAGCTGCTTAGCCACGCATCTCTTTTTGATCCACGCCTTCCTTCGCTTGATGCCCTCATACGTCCGTGCATGAAGACAGAAAGCTGTCACGATCCTCCTCATCACTTACCGGCACCGGAACTTTCGCCCCCTGAAGACCGCGTTGCATCGTTCCACCCAAATCTGGTGGAATGTGATTGCCGACACCGTCAGCTCCGGGAAACCGGAAGCTTTCCCCCCTCGTTGGAATAACAGATCGCCAAGTGTCCTCGCCCTCCGAGCTGGATTGAACCAGCGAATCGCATCTGTCAGGGCCCCCACCACAGGTTGGATGATGCAGCAGGAGAGCAGTGCGTGATCCACTGACTCCGCCTCCCCGCAGTGCGGACATCTTGCCCGCTCCCACAAAAACTTCAGTCGGTCCCCCACTTGAAGATTGAAGCAGTGGGCACACAGCAGGACGTCCTGCGCCCTTGCAGGAACTACATGTGAGTCCCTGCGCGCAATCACCCGCTTCCAGTCGACCTTCCTCCCCCACAATCGCTCCCACTTTGCTCGGCGAGGGAGCTTGTCTGGCTGTATGTGTCTCACCCCCAAACCCTCTCTCAGTTGCTTTAGCGGGGCTGCAAGCCTATCCACGCAGAGTTCTGAACTTAGAAGCCTTAGGGGCGGCTCGCTCAGCTCCCCAACTACCTCGTCCCCTACTGCTGCCATCGGCGTGACCTCCGACACGGATAGCGCTTTAACTCTCGGCCCTTCCAGCACAAGCCAAGTCTTCCCATCTTCGCGCTGGCGCATTCTCATGCAGTGGAGCAGACTGCCAGAGGTTTTATGAATCCACCACAACTGCACTCCTCTCCCCGTCATCCTCACAACCTTCGTAGCAATCGCAATTTCCTCCGCTGTGAGCGGCTTCAGGACCCGCTCCTTCCAGTACTCACTCAGCGCCTCCATTATGTCCGCGACCACCTCTCCCGCTTGCTTGCTGCCCAGGTTCCGCGTCAGACGCTCCGGTGATTTCCAGCTCCTTGTGCCCTCCGCCCATTTTAATAGCAAGTCCCCCACCGTGATTTCGTGTAGTCCTTCGTTGCCCTTCCGTCTCCCAAAAGGGTAGCTCCCGTCTCGCAGGATGCGCCAATTAAACAGCACTCGCTCCTTCTCGACATCCCATCTGTTTCCGGCTTCCAGGTTCCTGATGACCGGCGACGACATTGCTGCGGCTGTAATCGCTTTCCACCTCTCACTCCCCGTACCCCATGCCTTGAGCAGTGCCTCATGCGCAAGGAAGGAGGCGTAACCCAGCGGGAAGTTCGCCGCTTGCTCCGCCAGCAGCCTCTGCTGCGGCATCTCCTCCGTGAGCAGCACCGCCAGCGAATGGAGTGCCTCCGCATCAAGCCGCTCTTAGAGATTGATTACTCCCAGGCCCCCCTCCTCCCTTCTGAGCTGCATGAGGTCTCCATTCCAGAGAATGAAGCCCGGTTCCAAGCTCGCCCTTCCTCCAGAAACAAAGGCGTGGCACAGCCTCTTCAGCTCCTCCCAGATCGTGTCTGACGGCGGGTAGATCTGCACCTGGAACACTGCGATGGGCATGACGTACGCATTAACTACCGTCACCCTCGCCGTGGTGGTGAGAAACCTCGCTTGCCATTTATTCAGCTCCGCTTCCATTCTACTTAGCGCCTTCTTCCATGACGGCTTTGCTTCTCCTCCCGGCGTGATCCAGACCCCCAGCAGGCGCTCTGACTCATCTCTCAACGCCCACTTGAAGGCCCTGGTCGCAGGCGGCGGTTCGTCCCGCTGCCTCTCCAGCGACAACACCACCGACTTGTCCCAGTTGACCGCCAGTCCTAACCTTAGCTCGAAGTCTTTGAGCAGAATCTCAGCCTCTCCAAGCTGCGAGCGGTCCCTCATGAGCAGGGTGGTGTCGTCGGCATTCCCCAGGTAGGTTAGGTTCCCAGCGCCTTTGATATTAATGCCTAAACACCTCCTCCTTGCTTCTTGGCAGAAGGGCTCCATCGCGCAGAGGAACAAGTATGGCGCGAGCGGACAGCCCTGCCTCACACCAGTCAGAACCGGGACCTCCTCTCCCAGCCACTCGTCGTTACAAATGCGTGTCGCTGCACCTTTGTGTAGAACCTCCACCCACGTCACGTAAGCCTCCGAGAAGCCCATTTTCCGCAGCACATCGAACATATATCCACGCGCCACGGAGTCGAAGGCCTTGCGGAAGTCTACCAAGAGCATGAGCCAGTCCTTCTGTCCGGCATTAGCGGCGTCAATCACATCTACCGCAGCCGATACTGCTCCAGCGATGCTCCTACCAGGCAAGAAACCAAACTGCCCAGCCGATACCACTCGCTCCAGCTTGCCTTTCACCCGATTCGCCAACACCTTCGCGATAAGCTTGTACACTGTGCTCAGAAGAGTGATTGGGCGGTAGTTTTGGAGGTCGTCTTTTGCGCCCTTCTTGTGAAGAAGCATCGTCACCGCCGTTAAAAATTCGCTCGAGAGCGACCCTGTCCGCTTAAACTCTTTCAGGAACTGCATCATCTGCCCCCCGAGCAGGTCCCACTGTGATTCCCAGAGCTCCTTCGGAAGACTGTCTCTCCCTGGAGTTTTGCCCGGCGCCATCTCTGCCAGCGCACGCTTAACCTCCGCTTTCTGCCAAGGCGCACTGAGCGCCTCTGCATCCTCCTGTGAGAAGCTCTTGTCCACCGACCACTCCAGATGCGCATCCGCGCCAACCGCAAACAGTCTCTTGTAAAACTCAGACGTTGCCTTAAGTGACTCCTTAGCCCCCTCGTGCCGGGCACCATGGTAATTCACCTCTACCAGCCGCGTCCTCGCTTTCCGCGCTTTAATCTTGGCCGAAAAAAAGCCCGTGGGGGGCTCACCATTCATCTCTACTTTAATACCCGCCTGCTCCTGCAGCTTACGGCGCCTCCCGTCCAGGTACACTTTGAGTTTGGCTTCGCACTTCGCCAACCGCGCCTTCGCCCGCAAGCACCGAGGCTTGCTCATCACACGCTGCCTCAGCTCCCCAACTTCCCGCTCGAGGTGCGCCGTTGTGGCTGCCGCACGCTTCCGCTCCTCTACGGTATAGGCCTTAAGACCTACTATTAGTGAGGCTGTTAATGACTCCAGACCTCCTCTCTTTGCATTCCTCCTTACTATCTGCTCCACCCGTCTCTGTATGCCAGGGCGTGGAACCTGCGACGCCGGAAGCCTCCAGAGCCTTGGACCGGATCCCCCGTCCCCCCCGGCGCTGAGCTGCAGGTGCACCGCGGTTCAATGGTCCGTGTACCGCTTGACCAAGCCCACATGCCGCACCTCATGGACTTGGTGAAGCAACCCCTCCGAAAGAAGAATCCTGTCAATCCTGGTGCTCTCCTGTACCGCCGCTGCGTGGAAGGTGTATTCCCGCAGGCAGGGATGGAGCGCAATAAAAGCATCACGGACGTCAAAACTGCTGCATATGGTCATTAACCTCTCGTTCTCTCCCCTCCAGCCCAGGCCTGACGTCTTGTCCAGCGCTGAGTCCTCAATGATATTCAGATCCCCCGCCAACAGGAGTTGGTTCCCAGCAGGTATCGCGGTGAGAAACGGCTGGAGCACGTCGCGAAAGAAAGGGGCTCGCGCCGTTGGACTCGCTGGAAAGTAAGCTGCTACAACTGTTACCATTACCCCACGCCATGACATGGTCACTCGGGCTAGGCGGCCTGAGGCATCTCTGACTGCGTCCGTGCAGGACACCTCATTGTTGCGTAAGACAGTCGCAACTCCCCCAGCCCTTGACATAGGCGTCGTTGCTATTACTAAATCAGCCTGAAGATGGTTCTAGAATCCGTGATTCTTAGCAATCCTCGTGTCTGCTAGAATGGCTACGTGTGCTGCGTCTCTTATCCAGTCCTCAGCATCTTGCTGCTTCTGTGGACAACCAAGACCGTTGACGTTCAGGACGCTGAAGGTGAGGGTGGGGTGTTTACCCATTGGGAACTTGTGTTAGGCCCCTTAGCATCCACGGGCCGGATGTGAGTGTGCTGCTGCGGTTGTTAAGTTCTGCTTTTATTCTCCGGACAGGTACAGACACATCGTTAGCGCATACAGTCCTACACCACGCTGCAGAATCTCTTCTCTTAACTCCATGCTCCTGATTCACTTCCCCTTCGCCTTCTCCGCTCGAATCCCATACAACTTCTTTGCCGCCTGCAAGGCCTGCTTCGCCTAGGTCGCACGGGTCGCAATACCCGCCGTACCCAGCGCCGCGTCGAGGCTGAAGGAGCTGATGTGAGCCGCAGCCTGAGCGAAAGGTATCCCCGTGCGCACATTCGCAGCACTCCTGGACACACAGCCATTCCTCCACGTTGGTACCAGTCGAGATAAGGACCAGCACCGGGTCCCGGAGAAGCTTCCTCACCACCCCTACCGACAGAAGGGAGGCCGCTGCAGAAGACACCCATCACACCACCATCAGTCAGTAAGGAATGAAGAACCATGCACTGGTAAGAGCTCCACAGTACGATCCCCCCCCTATTACCGTTAATCGAATGGACCCTGCCTAAGGACAAGTTCCAGTTGCTGATGTTGTTGCGACGCTCATGCACATACTCATCATGCAACTTATCCATATGCGGTCCCTGACAGAAGCAACAGGGCAGCGATGGATAATGCGCGAGGTATGACGCATCACTGAGCGGGTCCTCCACCACGTGGCGCCAGCGGTACTTGTCCCCTAGATGCGGGACCACCAAGCCACGGATCTTATCCGTGTCCAAGCCCGAAACAGGGTCAACCACACGGTGGAAACCCGCGCCTTGCTAGAACGCCGGACGACCGCGCTTCTGCAGCTTCGCCACCGCCAGCGATTCGTAAACAATGAGCGGCGTAATCTCCGCTGGAACTCCTTTGAGCAAAACTTCCACCCCTTCCGGCAGGTCAGTCTTCGCTTTCACTAAGGCGCGGTTGACTGGGTGCAGCCAGCCGAAATGGTGCTTCGTGGTCCCCACAACATGCTCCACCCGATGCTGACGCACCACCTCCGCATCCGCAGCTGTCGCGAGCGTGACCTGCAGACGGCTGAAGTGAACCTTGGACAGGTAAGTCGGAAGCAACTCTTGAAACGCGATCACGTCCAGAGCATTGTCCGACAACTTCTTTCGCAGGAAAACCAGAAGAGCCTTCACCGAAGGCTTCACCGCAGGCATCTCCTTTGCCAGGGCGAATGGGATCAGGAGCGTCAGTGTGACGCGCGCCTTAGCCGCCAGCGCACCCTTAGCGTGCACATCAATGCCTTCATCCAAATCATCGCTCAGGTAACCGTCGTCATCCTCATCCCCCCCTACAGGAGCGTACGCAGACAGAACTGCAGGCGAAGGCGCAACCGGTTCTGGGACGGCCGATGCAGGAGCCGACGGAACCATTGGAGCGACCTGGCCTTCAGCGGTTGGTGGAGAAGTGGAGGTCCCGACACCCGCCTCCACGCCAGCAGACTGCTCCAGCGATAGGACATTCTGACCTTCCGGCGTCATCATGGTAGCAGCAGCTTCCGTCGCCCTGGTCAAGATCGTCATGCTTGGACTTAAAGAGAGGAGAGCGAGGTGATCGCTGACTGCTGAACCATGGCAGGCAGGCATTATATAGATTTCCAGCTTCTTCCTTGTCTGCCATTCCCATGGTATTGCCTGGACCTGATGGCACCAAGGGAATCCTTGATCTTGAACACGAGCTCGACATCTGTCGAGGTAGGATTGTTGCTGACTAGGATTAGGCAGCCACTTCAGCACAGACCCGCTCAGTAGTTGGCAGCGCACACAATGGAGACCCCAAGACTGAAGGAAAACCGTAGGAAACAGATGTAATCCGTGTGGAGAACTCCTAAGCGACTGCCTGGCCGAACCTAGATATGACCATGACCATTTGCCTGGAACTCGATAAGCATGAAGAATACCCGCCTGATGGGTACAATTTCTATGTCTGCTTATAGAAGAACACAAGCTGCATCGGATGGAGGAGTTTATGGTAAAAATAGGAACTATTTGCCTAGACATTGCTCGCCTCGAAGCGCGCGACAGGATCCATGGCGGCCTTATCATCATGCCGCTATGGATAGAATGGCACCATGCCGCTATGACAGCCATAGTTTTGCGATCAGACCGGGGTGACGAGCGGTATCGTAGGGTTGGTGAGGGGTGATGATGGGTGCAAGGGGGTTATGAGGGGCAATGGAATATGTTGACGGGTAAGAGGAGAGAGAGAGCAGTGGCATGTGCGTTGGGTGAAGGCATGTCACCCAAATATGCCTCGTCCACCCAATGCATGTTCCCCAGCGGCATGCCCACTGGCAAACCAGCACAAGCAGGCAGGGGAGCAAGCAAAGCACACACGGCACCTGTTAGAAGAAGGGGAAGAGGCCAGCAGCCGTGGTGGTCTCTCAACACGGTCCTGCAGAGCAGCGATGAGCAGTGGCATGTCGGCCGGGTCCAGGCACGTCACCACTCCCCACCACTTAACACCACAAACACACACAGGATGAACATCCACCTAGAAACCACACAGCCTAAGCCATACCTGTTCAAAGAGAGGAAAAAGGCCAGCAGCCGTGGTGGGCTCGACTGGCTCCTGCAGAGCAGCGATGAGCAACGGCATGTCGGTGGGGTCCAGGCATGTCACCACCCCCTCCTCGTACCGGCTTCCCCTCCTGCCCGCCCTCCCGGCGATCTGCTTCACCTGCGATGGTGTGGAACCAAATGGAAGGGGGAGGAGAGGGATGGAGGGGTGAACGAGACGTGAGGTGAGGAAAGTTAGTGTCCAGGCACGTCACCACCCCCTCCTTGTATCGGCTTCCCCTCCTGCCCGCCCTCCCCGCGATCTGCTTAACCTGTTATTTGGGGGCAAAGGACGGGAGTGGTGGGGAAAGAGATGGAGGGAGAGACGGAGGGGAGAGAAACTGAGGGGAGAGAATCTGAGGGGAGGGGAACTGAGGGAAGAGAGACTGAGGGGAGAGAAACTGATGGGAGAGAAACTGATGGGAGAGAGACTGATGGGAGAGAAACTGATGGGAGAGAAACTGATGGGAGAGAATTTGTGCATCTGACACCACGAGGGGAAGTCGCTCTCCTCCTCGTTGAACAGCCTCGCCTGGTGCCTAACAAGCACTGTGCCACCAATGGCGTTTGACAGGAAAAATACCCGTGCATACCATGGGGGACGGGATGAAAATTTTCGCCTCCCCGTTGAACTTGCGAAGCGTGCTGAACACGACCCTGCGAGTCGACAGGTTAAGGCCCATTCCAATTGCATCTGACGCCACGGGCACACAGAAGTCGCTCTCCTCCTCGTTGAACAGCCTCGCCTGCTGCCTGACGAACACTGTGCTGACCACCCATATGGGCACCCGTGCGTACCATGGGCGACGGGATGATGATCTTCTCCTCCCCATTAAACTTGTGAAGCGTGCTGAAGACAACCCTCCGAATGGAGAGGTTAAGCCCCATTCCGATAGCGTCTGAAGCTACCAACACACGGAAGTCACTCTCCTCCTCGTTGAACAGCCTCGCCTGCTGCCTCCTGGTTTCTGGCGGCAGTGCCCCGTACACCACACAGCACCGGTGCTTTGTGGTCATCTCCACCGCTCGCTGGATTGGGGGAGAACATGAACAAACCGCGTGTGATGGGTGGATGGGGGGAGAACATGAACAAACCGCGTGTGATGAGTCGATTTTTGAGTCGACTCATCACACGTGGATGGGGGGAGAACATGAACTAACAGAGGAGGAGATGAGGCGCGTGCAAGGAACATGGGGGGAGGGGAGGATGCGTGTGTGGGAAGTGTCTCTGGCGGCAGTGCCCCGTACACCACACAGCACCGGTGCTTTGTGGTTATCTCCACTGCCCTCTGGTGGAGACATGTGTGAGGGAAGAAAGGCACATGTGGGTGGGGTACGGAAAGTCATAAGCGCTTGAAGACAGTGAGCTGAAACACCCGAAAGCTGATGCACAAAGAAGCATCGTACACAAGGCACACGGAAGGGCAGACAACAGCAGAGCAGAGCAAGGCACAGCATGTGTGCTGCTCAGAGCAGACCACATGGAACGCACGCACCAGAGCAGAGCACGGCTTTTGAGGCACCTCAAATGGCTGCTCAGAGCAGACCACATGGAACGCACACACCAAAGCAGAGCACGGCTTTTGAGGCGCCTCATAAGGAGAGCAGAGCAGAGCAGAGCACGGCCCAGGCGACATCCAGAGATAGCTCAGTGAGCTGCGTGCGTGCAGTAGGCTTAAAGAAAAGGAAAAACAGCAGTAGATTTCCGCTCTGTGTACAGCTAAGTGCTCAAAACGATCTCAAAACCCAAAACGATCTCAGAACCCAGCATGGAGAGCAGAGCAGAGCACGGCCCAGCATGGAGAGCAGAGCAGAGCACGGCCCAGCATGGAGAGCAGAGCAGAGCACGGCCCAGCATGGAGGTGTATTTTGAAGCGCTTCAAAATTCCCAGCATGAAACGCAACCCACCTTGATTTCGAATATCTCTCGCCGCGAGAACGCCACAATGCAGTCACCAGGTGATACCCGCCCCAGATCACCCTGCAAGCTCGTCTGGTAAGGGGTGGGGAGGAGGGCGCAGCGCGCAGCAGCAGCAGGCAGACAGGTCACAGAAGACGAAAAGGACAGATTGAAATACCCAATGACCAACAGGTGCACCCACACCCAAAGACCAGCAAGTGCACCTACATCCGATAACCCCCGACCCCGATAATGGATCCCTCTGCTGCCTCATCTCGTGACCAACACCAGCCCACCCTCCCACCCACCCACCCACAGGGATACCGGGATACCGGGATACCGGGATACCGGGGAAACCGGGAAACCGGGAAACCGGGATACCGGGATACTGGGAAACCGGGAAACAGGGATACCAGGATGCCGCCATACCGGGAAACCGGGGAAACCGGGATACCGAGAAACCCGGAAACCGGGAAACCGGGAAACCGGGAAACAGGGATACCAGGATACCGCCATACCAGGAAACCGGGAAACTGGGGAAACCGGGATACCGGGAAATCGGGAAACCGGGAAACCGGGATACCAGGATACCGCCATACCGGGAAACCGGGAAACCGGGGAAACCGGGATACCGGGAAACCGGGATACCGGGATACCGTGGAAACCGGGAAAACCGGGAAACCGGGAAACCGGGATAACGCCATACCGGGAAACCTGGAAACTGGGGAAACTGGGTTACCGAGAAACCGGGATACTGGGAAACCGGGAAACCGGAATACCGGGATACCGGGAAACCGGGATACCGGGATACCGGGATACCGAGAAACCGGGCAAACCGGGAAACCGGGAAACCGGGATACCCGGATACTGTGGAAACCGGGGAAACCGGGATACCGGGATACCGGGATACCGGGATACCGGGAAACCGGGTTACCGGGATACCGGGAAACCAGGATACCGGGATACTGGGATACCAGGTGACCGGGTGACCGGGTAACCGGGAAATTGGGATACCGAGAAACGGGGAAACCGGGAAACCGGGAAACTGGGAAACTGGGAAACCGGGATACCGGGATACCGGGAAACCGGGAAACGGGGAAACCGAGATACCGGGAAACCAGGGAAACCGGAAAACCGGGAAACCGGGATACCGAGAAACCGGGATACCGGGAAACCGGGAAAACCGGGAAACCGGGAAACCGAGATACCGGGATACGGGGAAACCCGGAAACCGGGAAACCGGGATACCGGGAAACAGGGATACCGAGATACCGGGATAGCGGGATACTGGGATACCGGGATACCGGGATACTGGGATACCGGGTGACCGGTTGACCGGGTAACCGGGAAATTGGGATACCGAGAAACGGGGAAACCGGGAAACTGGGAAACCGGGATACCGGGAAATGAGGAAACCGGGAAACCGGGATACCAGGATACCGCCATACCGGGAAACCAGGGAAACCGGGATACCGAGAAATCGGGATACTGGGACACCGGGATACCGGGATACCGAGAAACCGGGATACCGGGAAACCGGGAAACCCGGGAAACCGGGAAACCGAGACACCGGGATACGGGGAAACCCGGAAACCGGGAAACCGGGATACCGGGAAACAGGGATACCGAGATACCGGGATACCAGGATACTGGGATACCGGGATACTGGGATACCGGGTGACCGGGTGACCGGTTGACCGGGTAACCGGGAAATTGGGATACCGAGAAACGGGGAAACCGGGAAACTGGGAAACCGGGATACCGGGAAATGGGGAAACCGGGAAACCGGGATACCAGGATACCGCCATACCGGGAAACCGGGGAAACCGGGATACCGAGAAACCGGGATACCGGGACACCGGGATACCGGGATACCGGGATACCGTGGAAACCGGGAAAACCGGGAAACCGGGAAACCGGGATACCGGGATACCGGGATACCGGGAAACCGGGTTACCGGGATACCGGGATACCGGGATATCGGGAAACCGGGTTACCGGGATACCGGGAAACCGGGATACCGGGATACCGGGATACTGGGATACCGGGATACCAGGATACCGGGATACTGGGATACCAGGTGACCGGGTGACCGGGTAACCGGGAAATTGGGATACCGAGAAACGGGGAAACCGGGAAACTGGGAAACTGGGAAACCGGGATACCGGGATACTGGGAAACCGGGAAACGGGGAAACCAAGATACCGGGAAACCAGGGAAACCGGAAAACCGGGAAACCGGGATACCGAGAAACCGGGATACCGGGAAACCGGGAAAACCGGGAAACCGGGAAACCGAGATACCGGGATACGGGGAAACCCGGAAACCGGGAAACCGGGATACCGGGAAACCAGGGAAACCGGAATACCAAGATACCGGGAAACCGGGATACCGGGATACCGGGGAAACCGGGAAAACCGGGAAACCGGGAAACCGAGATACCGGGATACGGGGAAACCGGGAAACCGGGAAACCGGGATACCGGGAAACAGGGATACCGAGATACCGGGATACCGAGATACCGGGATACGGGAATACCGGGAAACAAACCGGGAAACCAGGAAGCCGGGAAACCGGGAAACTGAGAAACCAGGACCGGGAAACCGGGAAACAAGGAAACCGGGAAGCAAACCGGGAAACAAACCTACCCACCAGCCCACCCACCCACCCACCCACTCACCCACCCACACGCCTTAATAAGCGCCTCAAAAGTTGCACTGCAGAACCCGTCTGGTGGGGGACAGCAAACAAACTAGCAATCCAGTTCTAAGTTGACTCAGGAACTAGCACCAGCCCACCCACACACATGACTGATCAGCTAGACAGAAAGGAAGAAAGAGCTACCTGGTCCACTGTGAGCGGTGCAAAGCGGTGGTAATGGTGGCATTCGAAGGCGTCCCCAGTGGCGTCACAGATGGCTCGCAAGAGGGGCAGCACGGAGGGGTCGCCACACACGTGCACCTCCGCTGCTTGCACTCCCAGGAGGGCCCTGGTCCACGCCCATCCGCGGTAATCGTCACTGATCATCTGAGACACACGGGGGGGAAGGGGGGTTTGGGGGGGTGGGGTGTGTAAGTCAGGCAGAATGGAGGGGTCGCCACACACGTGCACCGCCACTGCTTGCACTCCCAGGAGGGCCCTTGTATGCCTTTTTTAGAATTCTCAAAAAACATGTCCACGCCTGCCCTCGATAATCGTCGCTGATCATCTGAGACACATGTGGTGGCGGGGGGAAAGAGGGGGTGGGTGTCAAGGCATCACGGAGGGGTCCCCACACGCGTACACCTCTGCTGCTTGCACTCCCAGCAGCGCCCTCGTCCACGCCCACCCTCTGTAGTCATCCCTTATCATCTGGGAGCGAGGGAGGGGTGGGGTTTGGTAATACGAGAGGAGAGGGGACGGGGAAAAGGGGGGTGAGGTGAGGGTGAAGCGAACCGTATGCTACTCCCCCACCTTTCAGAGCAGCACGGAGGGGTAACGCTCATTCACAAAGAAAGAACCCACTCACACATGAATGAAGGAAACACACCCACGCACACAGACAGAAAAACCACAAGTACATGGGATGAGCAAAGGGCGAACACGGACATGTTCGTGTTCGCCCCTTCTCGAACACGTCCTTTTGCCGAACCGAACAGTGTTCGGTTCCGCGAACAGTTTAGCCAAAAACAGGTGTTCGCTGTTCGCCTGTGGAGGCGTGTTCGGGCGAACCTCGAACACGTTCGGACGAACGATTTAAGCTGAAAAACAAAACCTGTTCGAGGCGAACCGAACAGGTGTTCGCCACCTTGCTCAAGCCTACATGAATCTCATCAATCACAGCCACGACCACAGGCATGAAAAAGGTTGCTCTATCAAAATCAAGCCAAACGGCTAAAAAAATCAATGCATGGAAACTTGTGAGTCCCTTGGCTGCTCTATCAAGATCAAGCCAAACGGCTAAACAAACAGCAGATACCAGATCGCACATTCCAAACATAGAAACGCGAGATGCTAAGTACCTGAATCTCGTCAATGGCCGCCACGTCCACAGGGGTAGAAAGGTTTGCCATCTCGATGGTGGTGCATGCCGTGTGGTGCATGCCGTGTGGTGCATGCCGTGTGGTGCATGCCGTGTGGTGCATGCCGTGTGGTGCATGCCGTGTGGTGCATGCCGTGTGGTGCGCGAATGGCATCTCCTGTTGGGAACACCACACACCACTGATTCCCTGATTGGTGAGGCCCCTTGTGTGCAGAAGGTGCATACCTGAATCTCGTCAATGACTGCCACGTCGACAGGGGTGGAGAGATTGGCCATCTCAATGGTGCAGGCGGTGTGGTGGGCGAAGGGCATCTCCTTCCTCTCCTGCCCCGTCACCAGATTGCAATACACCCCGTCCGCGTTCACCCGGTCAAACACCTGAAGGGAGTGGGGACGGGGGAGTGGGGAGTGGGGGTTGTGGCGGGTGTTTTGGGTGTGATAAGGTTTGACTAGCACGTCACCAGATTGCAGTACATTCCGTCTGCATTGACCCGGTCAAACACCTGAGGGTGGGGGATAGGGAGGACGAGGGATGGCTCAAGCCTCAAGTCTGATGAACACAGAAGCTCATGTCTCCAGATCCGCTCTCCCAACCGCCACCATACCTCTCTTCATCCATCCATACCTCCATCCACTCCACCACACCTCCCTCCACCCCTCCATACCTCCATCGCCAGCAGCCTGAGCGGCCCACAGTAAGTGCCGGAGGAAGCTTCCTTGAACCTGACCAGCGCTCGGTGCGTCTTGCCACTGTTGGTGGGGCCCATGTGGTATACCACCTTGCGTGGCATGGCACGTGCTTGGGGATACCTGATGGGAGAAGCGAGGGAGGGGAGGAATGAAGGGATGAGGCAATGCTGTTGGTGGGGCCCATGTGGTATACCACCTTGCGCGGCATAGCCCTCGCCTGGGGATACCTGATGGGAGATGTGGTGGGGAGGAATGAAGGGATGGAGGCAGGATGGCAGCGCTGTTGGTGGCGCTCATGTGGTATACCACATTGCCACATAACACACCACACCACGCTGCACAACACTGCACCACACTACACCACAACCCACCCACCCCACCACACAATATTGCGCATCACGACATACCACACGTGCTGCTTGGTCCCTGTAGCTCCGAATCTTCTCCAGGACCGGGTATTCCCCAAAGAAGAACTCCGCAAAGAGCGGAAACAGGAACTCATCAACATCCCTGCCCGCGCCCATGTGTGCGAGCGCGGAGGCGAGCTCGGGGCAAGAGCATACAAGACTGCACCAGACCACACCGCACCACACCACACGACACCAAACTACACCAAACTCCACCACACCGCACCACATCGCACCACAGCAGACCACACCACTCCACATACCACACATGTGGCTTGGTCATGTCTGCCGAGTTCACCAGATCCCGGTAGCTCCGAATCTCCTCCGGGAATTCCCCAAAGCAGAACTCCGCAAGAAAATAAGAAACGGAACACCACTCCACCATGCTGCATCGCATCGCACCACGACGTACCAGACATGCGGCTTGGTCATATCAGCAGAGTTCACCAAGTCCCGGTAATTCCGAATCTCCTCCGGGAACTCCCCGAAGCAAAACTCCGCAAAGAGCGGAAACAGAAACTCGTCCGCGTCCCTCCCCGCGCCCATGTGCGCGAGCGCAGAGGCGAGCTCTGGGCGGCAGCAGCGCAGCACGAAGCGGCGAAACTTGGAGGCAGCTGTGGGGAAGAAGCGCGATGGGATGTAGATGGCTAGTGCTTGATCCGCTGCCCACCTGTGCACAACAAGAAAGTGGAAAAGGGAGGGGAATTAGAGGAAAAGCATGCGATGCGGCGGTTGTGCCGAAAGAAGAGCGAAGGGATGTAAGTGGCATGTTTCCAGTCACAAATCTCCATACCCGCGCGTGGCGAAGTGTTTCAGCGCGTTGTTCACACGCTCCCTGTCGTTCTTGCTCAGAGGGGGAGGCTTGGGCGCCGTCCCTTCATCCACGGCCCTCATTATAGTCACCTCCGCTTCCGCGTCCATCTCCCATGAGTCCTCCTCGTCCTCGCCCTGCCACACCTGCTTCTCCCCCGCTATCCTCACATCGCCGGCCAGGACCGGCTCTTCCAGGACCAGCTTCGCCCCCTCTATAGTCACATCGCTGCTCCCGTTTGTGTCACTATCCGCGGATACCGTTACTTCGCTAACAGCCGCAGTGCTACCCCCACCACCGCCGCTGCCCCCACAGCCGTTGCTACTCTTCCCGCCAGCGCGCTTCTTCCTGCCCCGCGTGATGCTACTGCTCTCACCGTTGCTTCTGCCGTTGGTGCCGCTGCTGCTGTCCGCATTGTCACCCCCACGGGCAGTGTCACTACTGATGCTGTCACTACTGCTGCTGTTGGCGCCGCCGCTAGCACTGCTGCTGGCATCGCTGCTGGCGCTACTAGTTAATCTCTTCCTCGGTCTCCCCCTCTTAGCCACTGGCACGCTATCTTCCGGGCTGGAACCCGGCGAATCCGGCGACGACACATCAGCGGAGGGGAGATCCCCAGGTTTAGGGTTCGATCCATAGTGAACGGGTCCTGATGCATCGGATCGGTCGCTTGCTTCGCCAAACGAGCGAGACTGTAACGAGGTGGAGGTGGAATAGGCACCTACGGGTGACGCAGAATCGGGGAAGACTCTAAACGGGAGAGATTCCGTAGGAGATCGAAAAATCGAGGAGCTGCCAGATCCTGATTTCAGATCGACGCTGAAAGGCAGGATCCTCGTGACTGTGCTGAGAGGCTGATCAGGAAAACGGTGACCTTGTGCCTGACGAGTGTTCAGAGAGTGACTGTACGCGGCGTGACTGTGTTCGGAGTGATTGTATGACGAAGGAGTGCCCGGTTCGAGGAGAGACGAGCATATCCTGAAATAGCTCGGCTGCTCCTGCAGTGGTGTAGTCGACGGAAGAGCAGGTGAGTTCCCGGACACGTGGAACTGATTAACGTTAACTGAGACGTCAGGAATAACGGTGCTATTGGCCGATCTCTTTTTCGCTACGGCTCGACGAGACGAGGCCCGCCGTACTCCGCTAATGACCAGCCTGACAGAATGAGGCGCCATGGCGCGGGGTTCGACACGAGCACGATTTTGAACCTTCGAAACTCCTGCGAGTATATGTAGTTCGTATTCACAATATGGGCCTCTCCATTACTGGTGAACAAACCCAGCTCATTACGTGACTAATCGTGATGCTGGATTCTATGGGAGTTTAGTGCTTCTTATATTTTTTTTAATGATGATTGCAAGTATACACCGAAAGGCAAGCGTACACTAGCAGGAGTGCTTCTTAATGCTGTACACTCCTTCTTTACTACGGATAAGCTTGTGAGGAAGAAAGTGTTTCCTGCTTTCGCGAGCACCTTCCACAATTGAGTCACCCGCATCCTCGCTACCAGCGACTCACCGACTAAAAGCCGCTGCACGAAGCAATCCTCGAGGAAACCACACCTCGAACATGCGCTGGTCACAGCTGGACAGCTCGTGTGTGCAACCAGCGCCACGCAAAGCCAATCCCTTCTGCCACGTACGCAGCTTTCAGCAATCCAACCGACCATCTGCTTTGGGGATGAAATCACAACCAGGGGCTTGTTGATGTGACCTGCCAGAGATTTCTCTTCGGCCATTAGTTCTAACCCACGTAGATTGTCAAGGCTGCTGAGCAGCTCTGGAGGGAGGCTCGGCATCTCGTACCTGCACGTGCTACATGCGTGGTGCCCGTGCTGTTTGTCAGACCTGTCATCGTCTCGTGCGTGTCTCGTTTCTCCTCTCGCTGCACATATCACCACCCCCCGCCATCCAATTTTCATTTCTTCCAATTTTCCTAATTTCGCCTCTAGCTCTTTTCTTCAACTCCTCCTCGCAACAATCCTTCTCTCGTTTATTGCCCCTTCGCCTCTTCCTTCGGCCTCGTGCTTGACACACTCTACACTCTCCAATCTGCGGCATCCTCGCGAAGGCTCAGCTTGAAAACATGACAGGCGAAAATCACTCGGCTAACGCCACAGAAGACAGCAATCAACCTCCCAGCAGTCAGAGCGCCAGCCCTCCAAGAGAGAACTCCCTTTTGACGAACGAGGCTATAACTGTACGCGTATCCGAGTCCACACCCGACCATGAGTGCGGCCACGTGCACCTCTCGCACCGCGCTCCATGGCTTCGCGCCGCTCTTCTCGGCGCCAACGACGGGCTCGTGTCGGTCGCGTCGCTTATGGTCGGCGTCGGCGCCGTCGATAGTAGCCAGATTGTAATCTCCGGATTGGCCGGGCTTGTCGGCGGAGCGTGCAGCATGGCGATTGGCGAGTACATCTCCGTTTATGGCCAACGCGATATAGAAGAAGCGGACGTGCAAAAGGAGAGGGAGGAATTTCTCAAAGGCCCGGAAGCGGTACAGAGGGAGTTGGAGGAGTTGGCGCAGATTTACGTCTCGCGCGGATTGTCGTACAGACTCGCACGCGAAGTCGCAGAGGAGCTTTCGCGAGTCGACCCTGTTCGCGCACACGCACGCGACGAGTTGGGAATCGATATGGACGACCTCTCGAACCCGTTACAAGCTGCTCTGGCATCCGCCGCGGCGTTCATCGTCGGAGCAATCATCCCGTTATTATCCGCCGCATTCATACGCGACCACGTCGCGCAACTGGTGGTTCTTCTAGTGGTGACGACACTGACGTTTATCGGGTTCGGCATGCTCGGCGCGTGGCTCGGCGGAGCGAACAAGCTTCGAGCCGCGGCGCGAACCACGGCGGGAGGTTGGCTGGCGATGGGGATCACATATGGCATTCTGCGTCTCTTTGGCACTGCTGGGATGGCTGCTTGAGCCTAGGCTTGACTCGACTCCCTCAGAAGAAAGAGCGCTGCGTTATAAGCCAGAATGCCTCCCGCAGTTCAGTTTCACCAGAGTGCAAAATTGTGCCGTGTACAGCCTCTATATCTAATACAAATACATTTCTAGTTCCACAATGGCGATGTAAACACTCAGCTAAAACGCTCTGTACAAGCACACTGTGTGGTCACACCACCCCTCAGTACAGGGTGTCAGTGTGCCAGCGCCGTTTCTTTGGCCCTTGCTCCTCCCGCTGCTTCTTCAGCTCCATATGCTCTATCCCATGCCCTCTGTTTGCAAACAGTCTTCGTAGATTAATCACTGACAGCTCCGCGTAGCTTGACACTGCCAGATCCGCCTGCTTCAACTCATAGCTGGTTGTAAGGTGAAACAGGTGGAAAGGGTGTGAGGAGAAACAGGAGGGAGAGGGGGAGGTGAGTGAGAGGAGGATGTTAACTGGGAATGGCAGACAAGTGGGAGGTCACAAGTGGCAGCACCACCGCCTGCACATTACAATGCTTATGTCGTGTGTAACAATGAGGTCAGCTCATGCATGCTCACACAGGGTGGGTGTGTGGACGAGGGCAAGAGGAGAGCAAGCTTGTGGAAGGACAGCAGCAGCATCAAGAGCAGCATCAACAACAGCATCAACAGCAGCATCAACAGCAGCGGTAGAAGCACGGCAGCATGCTCACGCGGGGTGTGTGCCGATGAGAGCCACGGCCTTCATGCTGCAGTTGTGCGCTGCTGTGATTCCCCTCGGGTCATCCTCAAACACCACACACTTGGCTGGCGCTCGGTCCAGCTGGTTGGAGGATGCACACAACATGCGAAAGCGCGTAGGGCGAGGGGAAGGAAGGAAAGAGTGGAATGGAAAGCATGGGTTAAAAAGGAGTGAGACCAGGAAAGGGGAAGATTGGAACAAAAGCTGAGAGGATGAGAAGGCATGACACCGATGACCAAAACAGGAACTTGAAACGAAACATGGGCTGGATGCTGGATAGGACATCTCACGACTGGAGTGGATGGGTGGATGCACAAGTGCAAGAGGAAGAGAGAGAGAGAGAGAGAGAGAGAGAGAGAGAGAGAGAGAGAGAGAGAGAGAGAGAGAGAGAGAGAGAGAGAGAGAGAGAGAGAAAGAGAGAGAGAGGGGGGGGGGGGGGGGGGGGGGGGAGGTGTAATGCGGTAGAGAAGGGTCGCTGACCTTGACGGCAGCAGAGAGGAATCGATGAGCCATCGACTCCATGTCATCCTCTGCTGTCACAAACGCCTGGTGGTGGGAAAGGGAGAGGCGAGGGCTGCTTGGCGATTTCCAGAAGTATGTGTTCGGCATGGAATAAAATCAATGAGCCATTGAATTGAACCCATGCCACTGTCTGCTCTCATAAACGCGTGGTGGTGGGAGCAAGAGCGGCGGGGTGCAGCAGAGTGAGGCGGATCTACGCTACTTCTTATAATTCCCAAACCTAACGGGGTTTAAGATTCTTCAAGAAATGTGTGGGACCCTGGAAAAGGTGCAGCAGCTTCATGCAGTCGAGGGCAAAGAGAAGAGCGAGCTTGATCTGACTTACTTGTGAATAATAATCTTTTTCTAAGATTCCTAAAAAGGTTAGGTTACCTGGAAGTGGTGCAGCAGCTTCATGCGGTCGAGGGCAGAGAGCAGAGTGAGGCGGTCGATGGACGTGGCCACAGCACACGGCACTCCTGCCTTCTGCAGCGCATCCAGCCACTCCTGCACGCCCTCCAGTGGCGCTCGCACCTGGTGTGAGAGGAAAGCAGAGAGGATGAATTGGGCCGCGGGTTCAAGTCAAGGATGGCCTACTGCAGCGCATCCAGCCACTCCTGCACGCCCTCCAGTGGCGCTCGCACCTGGCATATGAGGAGAGGGTGGAGAGGACGACGAGACTGAAGCAAGAATGGCCTTCTGCAACTCATCCAGCCACTCCTGCACGCCTTCCAGTGGCGCTCGCACCTGATGTGAGAGGAGGGGTAGAGACAATGATAGGGTCGTGGGTGGTTCAAATCAAGAATGGCCTTCTGCAGCGCGTCTAACCACTCCTGCACGCCTTCTAGTGGTGCTCGCACCTGACATAGGAGGAGCATGGAGGGGAAGATAGGGACGTGGGTTCACATGGCCTTCTGCAGCGCGTCTAACCACTCCTGCACGCCTTCCAGAGGCGCTCGCACCTGGCGTGAGAGGAGGGTAGAGACGATGATAGGTTCACAGGTCCAAATCAAGAATGGCCTTCCAGAGGCACTCGCACCTGGCGTGAGAGGAGGGTAGAGACGATGATAGGTTCACAGGTCCAAATCAAGAATGGCCTTCCAGAGGCGCTCGCACCTGGCGTGAGAGGAGGGTAGAGACGATGATAGGTTCACAGGTCCAAATCAAGAATGGCCTTCCAGAGGCGCTCGCACCAGTGCTTGTTGTAAAAGCATGTGTGCGTGAGAGGGAGGGGGAAGGGGAGGGAGGGGGGGAGTGAACCTTGAAGAGCTGGCAGCAGCCGTAGTGCTCAGAGAATCCGTACTTGAGTAACAGAACGGTGGGCGCATTGTGAGACATCTCAGATCTAATCTACTTTCACGGGGAGGGAGGAGGGTAGCAGAGCTTACCTTGGAGAGCTGGCGGCAGTAAAGCTCAGAGAGCCTGTCTTTGAGTGACGCAATGGTGGGCTCGTCTGAAGCCCAGAAAAGCACCTGTGAGGAGAGGACGTGGGGAGGAGGATGAGCTCAAAGAGCCTGTCTTTAAGAGACGCAATGGTGGGCTCGTCTGAAGCCCAGAAAAGCACCTGTGAGGAGAGGACGTGGGGAGGAGGATACGTCGTGCAGGCACAGAAATACAGGGTTGAATCAGGAGGAGCAATTCGGGCAGAGACATGAGATTGGAGACGTGAGGACTATGAACTAACCTTGAATGGGTAACCAAAGTAGGAAGGGTTGAAGGAGTGAGAAGAGAAAGAGTAAGAGGTTGGCAGAGTCGGAAGGAAGGGCGCACTGATTTGATGCAGTGGGCAGGGGAAGCCGTTGAGAGCTGGCGGAGTGAGGAAGGAGAGTCGGGCAAAGGCTTCCCTGTGAATGAATGGGGAGAGAGCGAGAGAGATTCGGGCAAAGGCTTCCCTGTGAATGAATGGGGAGAGAGCGAGAGAGAGGCAGCGAGAGATGAGAGCACAACAAGTGAACGATCCGTGCAAGAAGGAGAATGTCGGAATAACAAAACATAGACACAACGGGTCAGTAGCATTGAGATAGAGTGCGAACGGGCAGTGGGGAAGGCAGTGGGGAAGGCAGTGGCACAGTGATGCCTCCGTGTCTCATGACCTCAACCGCTGGCTCACCTGCTTCCTCTGCCAGCTGCTTCCAAGCCTCAAATCTCAGATCACGGGTGTTGGCCTGACCACACAGGACGCATGCAGACAAAAAGATGCACAGAATCATTGACAGACGAGACCATAATGCACCAATGCACAATGAAAACCAGAAAAGCCATATGTTTTATGGAGTACACGGTCCAAAAGCCGAGACGATTCTGAATGCCTCAGAGCGCATCACCCATGACAACACGCCTTTCAAGGCCGATCTCAAGTCAACTGAGAAACATACAATGACATCGACCCATACCAGGATTACACGAGTCCGAATGCAAATGTTTGAGTCGACTTGAATACATACAATGACGTTGTCCCAGGAGTACACAAGTCCAAATGCCAATGTTTGAGTCGACTTGAATACATACAATGACGTTGTCCCAGGAGTACACGAGTCCAAATGCAAATGTTTGAGTCGACTTGAATACATACAATGACATTGTCCCAGGAGTACACGAGTCCAAATGCAAATGTTTGAGTCGACTTGAATACATACAATGACATTGTCCCAGGAGTACACGAGTCCAAATGCAAATGTTTGAGTCGACTTGAATACATACAATGACATTGTCCCAGGAGTACACGAGTCCAAATGCCTCGTCTGGTCGCATGGCTAGGCGTATCCTGTCCACCCCTCTCTTCCTCATGCGATCGTTGAGGAAATCCTGACAGAGACGGTAGAATAACAGAAGGTTTGTTTGAAAGGCAGTTGGTGTGGTAACCTGGATAAAGATGAACTGAGAAGCATGGGTTGGAACTGGGAGGAAAAATAATAAGTCATGCTCCAATCACAGCTCACCACGTCAACTTGCAGGGCTCCTTTGGGTCGAAAAGTGGCAAACCCCTCCCCTCTCTCCGCTCCGATCTCCTGAGAGGCGACAAGATGAGTCGAAGGCGAGTAAGGGGCTGGGGGGTGGATTAGCACACTATAGCTAACAAAAGGAGGTCAGATAACGATCAAAAGGAGCAAACCGACTGTGCCTACGCCATTACAGAACCTTTCAGGGATCGCACCTCTTCACCAGGAAAGGGCCCTGGTTTGCCTCGTCTGGCCTGAATCAGCGGATTTGATTGAGGCGAAACGGCCTTCGGATCCACTGCACTCTCGCTGCCGCTGCCACTGTTGGTGCTTCTGCTGGCGCTGCTGCTGCTTCTGCTTCCGCTGTTGTCGTGACACTGGGCGCTGAAGCATTTCCAGCTCGGGGATGATTTTAATGATCTTGAAGCTTTGCAGTATAAGCTCGTCGACGAACGAGAAGGGTGTAGGGCGAGATGCTGACTTTGAAAATACGGAAAGCATTCTGTCGTCGCGATTTTTTTTCGTACCCTCACGATCGAATCTGTTACAAGGCAACTACGGTGGTTTCGAGGGCATGATGACGACGCTCTGATGTGAATGGGATTTACATACGGACAAAGATTATATACACGAGAGGTATGTGAAAAAGGCTGCGCAGCAGCTATAGGCGTGCAGTAGGAGGCCATGGAATCAGCATGTCTTAGTTCATAAGGACGAGTGATGACAAGGCTGCATGATGCAACCTGACTTGTAGTCTATATCCCTGTGATTGCGAGCCTCGATAACATGCCAGAGAAAAATGGAAGAAATGACATATTGTTTTATTGAGGTTGTTCCGAAAGCCGAATACGAACAAGTTACTGAATTTTGGCTGTGCCGCGTATGTAGAGTTGTTTGCGAAGGACCAGGTTTATGTGGCTTCCTGACATTTGTCGACACGTGTCTACCTTGTTCGGATTTCGTCTAGTTGGCCGAACCGTTGCGCGTTGGCCCTCGACCTGGCCGAGATGAGTTCACGAGCCAAAAAAGTCAGCCACAATTTAGGTTCGGCCCGCAGCTACGTCGCCTTTCGGAGCCGAACCTTCACCCTGCCTGCGCGGGAAACCTTCCACCGCCGCGTATGGGCACCGTGGCCTCGACAGGCTGTTGCTGTCCTCACTTTGCACGGCCCTCCAAACCACGGGCTTGCCGCTGATGGTCATCCAGCACCACACCGAACTTTCCGTTGGGAAATAAACGCATCCAAGGACCGATATCAATTCCCCGATTTGCCTAGACGGCGTAGATTCTTTTGAACGTTGCGCGGCGAAGCGTAGCGAAAAGGTGGGTCAAGCCTAGGGCGGGCGACGAGGGGAAAATCCCAATAATCGCACAGGGCTTGGATGCTTTTCCTCCTTGCCCGGTGTTGTTGGGGTGGCGCGGAATATGGTCAGCAGGGGGACGAGCATGATGGCAACTTCATCTCTTCCTTGCTGCACTGGAATTCGTAGCAGTCTGGTAGATGAAGCAGGGAGGAGGTTCACAACGTTCAGTGTGAGCGTTTCGGCCTTGTCAAGTAGTGACCCTGGAGGAGATATCTCCTTCCAAAGCGCTCCTCGTGACGTTAAACTTAGGGATTGCCAGCAGCTTCGTTGGTTTGCAAGATCTAAATTCCTGGAGAATTTTGAATACTTATGGTGAGAGAGCTTAGGTTATACGATTGATTGGTTCGACTTGCTGGACGACTGGCCGCCTCGTTTTGTTCGAGCGAATCACTTGCTAATCTTAACGATTTATTGAATCGCACTCTGAAAATGGACGAGCGGGAGTTTTTTACGGAGTACGGAGAAGCTAGCAAGTACCGTTTATTAGAGGTGATAGGCCGAGGCAGCTATGGCATCGTTTGTTCAGCCATAGATACGCACACAGGGGAGAAGGTCGCGATTAAGAAGATTAATGACATATTCGAGCATGTGTCAGACGCCACGAGGATTCTTCGGGAAATTAAGCTCCTTAGGTTGCTCCGTCACCCTGATATAGTGGAGATCAAGCACATCATGCTTCCTCCGTCACGGCGAGATTTCAAGGACATCTATGTCGTTTTTGAGCTGATGGAATCTGACCTTCATCAAGTAATTAAGGCGAACGATGACCTTACACCTGAGCACTTCCAATTCTTCCTCTATCAGCTGCTGAGAGCTCTGAAGTACATCCACACAGGTACTGCACTCGAGATTCATTGATAAGTGTTGCTACAGTAGGTTCGAATTCTAATTTCGCACCTTCCGTCCTTTTCAGCCAACGTGTTCCACCGAGACTTGAAGCCGAAGAACATCCTGGCGAACGCTGACTGTAAACTAAAGATATGCGACTTTGGCTTGGCTAGGGTTGCTTTCAGCGATGCGCCAACGGCCATTTTCTGGACGGTACGACACTTGCTGTGTCCCTCATTCTTTAGTTTACTTGTCGATGTGCTCTCTGTAGGGTTCCCGTGAGGAGTTCAGCAGCTCGTTTCCAACGTCAGCCTTTTACGTCAGACTTGGCTAATTCGTGCATGTGTCGGTCCACCTTTCAGGATTACGTGGCCACGAGATGGTACAGAGCCCCTGAACTGTGTGGCTCTTTCTTCTCCAAGGTATCCGTCTTTCCGTTGGTTCATTCTATTCGTATCCTAGTTTTCATCCGCTCACGTTATTTTCGCGTCTGATAACAGTACACTCCCGCCATTGACATCTGGAGCATAGGGTGCATCTTCGCCGAGCTTCTGACTGGGAAACCGTTGTTCCCTGGGAAGAATGTGGTTCACCAACTCGAGCTCATGACCGACCTTCTGGGAACGCCTTCACCAGAGTCGATCGCCAAGGTGAGCCAAAGCTGGTTTCTGGGATCATTCTCGTGCAGATTTCGTAGCCTTGTCTAAATACCTCGCGAATCTCTCTGCCAGGTTCGAAACGAAAAGGCACGGAGATATCTTGGGAGCATGCGGAAGAAGCAACCAATGCCATTGTCGGCGAAGTGCCCGAACGCGGACCCGCTTGCTGTGAAGCTGATGGAGAAGATGCTCGCATTTGATCCGTCACACAGGCCGACTGCCGAGGAGGTACATTACTGTCGGCCATTCAGGTCATTTGTTGCGTTGGCAATCATGAGAATTTGACTAAACGAAAGCTTACCTTTTGCAGGCTCTTGCCGACCCTTACTTCAAGGGCCTGGCCAAGGTTGAAAGAGAACCTGCGGCTCAACCCATCACCAAGGTGGAATTTGAGTTTGAGAGGCGAAGACTGAACATGGACGATGTCAGAGAGCTCATCTACCGCGAGGTAAGGCTCGAAAGTTGTTTCTCACCAATCCATCTTTCCTTGCTTACCGTGACACAGGGCTTTACATAATAACCCCTTTTACCTGATTGCAGATTCTGGAGTATCATCCTCAGATGCTGAAGGACTTCCTCAACGGGACGGATCCTGGAAACTTCTTGTATCCAAGGTATGGCGGCTGTGGTGTGTTGCATGGGGAGGGGCTAGTGTGGGAATTCTCCAGGCAAAATGCTGAACTGAGGGTTTACATTTTCATCAGGAAATATGGAATATATTTAGTACACATCAGGAATTTGAACAAAGACTCTCTCATTTCCGCGAAAAGGATGTAAATGTTATCGGTGAAGGCCCAACCAATGGTAGTTGTGTGGCTGAAGTGGCCTATGGTGTATTCCCCGGTGAGCATGAACTCAAATGCTGCTCTGTGTTATGTTGTGTGGGGCCTTGCAGTGCTGTGGACCAGTTCCGACGTCAGTTCCACACCCTAGAAGAGCATTATGGCAAGGCGGGCGACGCACCGTCGCTGGAGCGCCAGCATGCCTCCCTCCCAAGGTACGCATCTCATCATGGATAGCTCACATTGCTCAAGCCCATGTCTTTTGCTGCCTCGGGGTTTCGAGCTGACTTACGGAACTTGTCGATTGCGTGATCAGGGAACGCGTTGCTGGTGAGAGGAATGAACCACGGGATGAGGCTCAGTTGGAAGAGGAGAGGAGACGAAGAGCAGCAAGGCAGCAAAGGGCATGGGCACAATCAGGATACAAGGGTACGCTTCAGCGATTAGTGATGGACTTGTGCCTGTGATCCTGCACATACCTTCCCTTCCCATGCCCCATTTACACCCATCCACTGGAGCCATTCCTCCAATCCCTTCCACCCTCCCTAAGACCCAATGTCTTGCACCTCTCCACTTCGGAGCTTAGGTATGCCCTACTCTTTTCCTAATGTCTTCCACCCTACAGTATTCAGCATCTCCCCCCCTCCCTGCTCATCAATGACTTTCCACCTCCCCACTCTTCAATGTTCTTCCCCCTCCCCACTCTTCAATATCTCCCCCTCCACTTTTCAATACCATTCCACCTCATTATTCTTACAATGTTATTCTACCTCCTCTTTGATGGCATCCCCACTCTTTAGCACCGTCACTAATATTCAATGCCATTCTTCCTCCCCACACATGACATTCCCCCTCTCCACATTTCAATGTAACCAACCTCCCCAGTCTTCTCTGCTAGTCACCCTTCCTACTCTTCAATATCCACCACCAACACCACTTCTTGATCTCTTTCACCAATTTACCCCTCAATCTTTGCCACTCTCTTTCTAACGCCTACCGCCCTCTTTAACCCCTATCTTCCTCCACCCTTCCTGCTTTCTACATCATCCGCCTCTCTCACACCAACTTGCAGCTGGAGTGGGGCAGCCTGCAGCGCGCCCTGGCAGGGTAGTGGGGTCCAGTGGAGGAGCAATGAACGGTGCACAGAGAGACGATGTGCGGCGGTACGCTCGCACAGCAGCACTGAGTGCGCAGTCCCCGTTTCACATCGGCAGCCAACTAGAAGACTCCACCAGGAAACCAGCGAGGCAGGAGGCAGGAGCTAGATAATTGGCGTGTCACTTCCCCTGTCGTTAACCATTTATGCAATTTCTTGAGTTTTAACAAGTTGGCTATCAGCTAGCAATCCTGCAGTGCAGCACCCCCTCGCAAGGTGCACTCCATATGCCTCGGCTTTTCGCCACACATTTCAGCAAGTGCTATACTAGCCTCCCCTGCCTCCTAGCTGCCAACATCCTGTAATAGCTTGCTCATCATTCAAAGGTCAATCAAGATAGATCATCATAATGCAGGACAAGTACACTGAAGCCAAGGACTAATAATGGGAGTACTGTTAATGCGCTAAGTCAAGACAGATGAGTTGAGGACCTAAAAGGAGCAAAGCCCCATGCGAAACTGCCTGCCCTTGGCAATCCCCAACGAAGCCTCGTGTTTATTCATTCCCTCCTTCCTCCGCATTCTCGCCTCTTTTCCCACCCCCTCCTCTGTGCGAGCTGGCACCTCCCTCCCCTTCAAAATAATCCCCGCTTCCTGTGGCACTGTTCAGACCACCACCAGCAGCGGCACCACCACCACCCTTGCCTGCCTCCCCTCCTCCCGCACCTCCTCCACCCCCCCACGATCCTCCTCCTCCTCCCATTCCTCCTCCGCCTTCCCACCCACCCATGTTACCATCCGCACTGCCCATTCCCCCTCCGCCTCCTCCCATTTGCCCTCCTCCCCCTCCCCCTCCTCTTCCAAAGAAGGCTGGGTTGATGTGGGGAGCAACACCAGGCAGACCACCGCCCATGTTTGGGAACCCACCCCCCATGCCTCCCCCCATGCCTCCCCCCATGTTTCCCCCCATGTTTCCCCCCATCCCTCCCCCAGGGCCCATTTGGTTGAACCCAGGGCCTCCCCTGGGGAAGCCCCCCCCTCCCCCTGGCGGACCAACAAAACCTCTTCCCCCTCCTCCCCCCTCCCCCTGCCACAGTCCCCCCTCCTGCCCCCATTCCCCCAGGGCCAATTGATGGGTCGAACCCCCCACCTCCCCCCATAGGGGGGCCTCCGGGGAAGGGCATTCCCCCTGTACCAGCTCCCCTTCCCCCTCCCCCTCTTCCCATGCCCCCTCCTCCCCCCATTCCTCCACCCCAGTCCCCACCTGCCCCGCCTCTCCCCCCTCTTCCCCCATCTACCCCTCCTCTTCCCCCCATCCCCATGCCCCGCCCAGGCATCATGCCCCCGCGCCCAAAGCCTCTCCCTGGCCCAGAACCTCCCCCCATAGGGCCCGCTCCGCCCATGCCTCCCCCCATGCTTCCCCCCATGCCTCCCCCCATGCCTCCCCCCATGCCTCCTCCCATGCCTCCTCCCATTCCTCCCCCCATTGGCCCTCCCCCACCCATTGGGCCCCCTCCTGCCCCCATCCCCCCTCCCATGCCCATACCACCCATGGGACCCACCATACCCCCCCCCATCCCTCCCCCCATCCCCCCCTCCCATCCCCCCTCCCATCCCTCCTCCCATTCCTCCCCCCATTCCTCCCCCCATTCCTCCTCCCATACCTCCCCCCATCCCTCCCCCCATACCCCCCATACCTGGCCCCATTCCCCCCATTCCCATCGGGCCCCCCATCGGCCCTCCACCCCTTCCAGGAAAGTTCCCCATCCCCCCACCCCCACCTCCTCTTCCTCCACCCATAGGCCCCATTCCCCCCATCCCCCCCGGCCCGCCCATCCCCCCCATGCCACCGCCCATGCCTCCCCCCATTCCGCCCATTCCTCCCCCCATCCCCCCAGGACCTCCCCCCATGGGGCCCATGTGGGGGCCAGGTTGGGCGGAAGCCATAGCAAGGTGCCTTAGGGTTTGGGGGGTGGCAGGTGTGACTATACAGGGGCGGCCATTGAAGAGCCGCCCAGCCATGTTCTCTTTACAAGCACGTGCCGCTGCTGCATCTGCGAAATCAACCTGTGAGGACCGGGCGACAGGCACGGTTTGGAGCAAAAAACACGCAAAAGAACATAAGAGGCCTGCGACGAGACAAGAGAGTGAATGCAGAAGAGAATGATTAGAGAACAGAACCAGAAGCAAATGGGGGGAGGCAAGCCACACTACATTGTGTAAAAAGGTCGCGCCAGGTGCTTTAATGCTTTAATCTCCATGGCACGCACCTGACAGTACCCTTTAGACCGCCCAGTGGCTTTTTCTTCAAAGAACTTCACCCCCACCACTTTGCCGAACTCAGACGCCCCCGCCTCTATGTCCGCGTCTGTCGTCCACCAGTGCAGGTCCCCCACAAACACCGCCAACCCCTCAAACCCCCCTCCCCCTCCGCCTCCCCCTCCGCCTCCGCCTCCGCCCATGCCTCCCCCGCCGCCGCCTCCGCCGCCTCCTCCTCCGCCAGGACCCATTCCCATTCCCCCCTGCCCCATTCCGCCTCCACCTTGTCCCATTCCGCCTCCCCCCTGCCCCATTCCGCCTGAGCCCATTCCGCCGGGTCCAACTTGCCCCCCACCCATTCCTGCGCCCATGGCCCCCATTCCCCCTCCGCCAGGCCCCATTCCGCCCTGCCCCATCCCACCTTGCCCCATCCCGCCTTGCCCCATCCCACCCATTCCCCCTTGACCCTGAAACCCTCCACCCCCCTGCCCTTCCCCTTGCGCCATCTGCCCAGGATTTCCACCCATTCCCCCGCCGTGCTGCTGCTGCGTGCCGGAGTTTCCGCCTCCGCTTGCTGCTTGCCCCGCCATCCCCTGCGCGGGACGATGCGCCTGGGAGGAACTCCCGTCCGCGCCTGAAGTTCCGCCTACGCTTCCCCCTTGCCCCGCCGGCTCTTGCGCATTACCTCCCGGTTGCGCGTTGTGCGCGATCGCCCCTTCAACTCCCCCCTGGCCTCCTCGGTCTCCGCCATCACCGCTGTCGCCTCCGCTGCCGCCGCCACTAACGTTCTCGCCGTCGCCGTTGCCGCCGCTTCCGGCTGCTCCGCCGCCAGCACTACCTTTCCGCTCTTCGTCCTCGTTATGAGCTTCGCCTTCTCCTGCTTTTAACGCGTCTCCGTCATCTTCGACTTCGTATGTTAATTCCAACTCCTCGTCCTCGGGGTGATCCGCCATATCGATGCGGCTACAAACGAGAGAAGATCAACAGTAATCAGTGGTTTTGAATAGCTCGCGACGGAGATTACGCGGATCGGCAGGGCAACAGGAGGGACGCTGAGCATCGAAAAAATGGCGGGAACTGGGAGTGCTGTTGATGGGGGCCTGGAGCAATTTCTAGGGGTGAGTTGAAAAAATCGATGCTTTCGAACATTCTTGAGACAACGTTTAGAAAACCTCATTACACAGCCTTTTGAGCCATTTCCACGCAGTTCAGTGGGTTTTTACGGATCTTGATCCCGTTTGTCTTAGACGAAGTGTTAATAACGCGTATTCTCTGATCCTTCAGCAGCAGTTTCTAGTCTGAGATACGCAGTCTAGTTTTGTCAACCCCTGAAAGGTTACTAGTCTTACCCTTAGTAGGCTTTGCATGCAGGCATTTGGGACCTGGAAACCATGGAGACCAGTTCAGAGCCCGTTGTAAGCGACCCTCAAGCCTGTATCGCGGATGGAGATTGTTTTGTCAAGTCCAGAGAAACGTCAGGGTCGTTTGAAGCCGCGTCGTCAGACGAGCGTAGAATCGAGTCTTCCGCTCCGACTAGCGGGTTGCCGGAGTGTTACGTGATCGTGCATAACGTGGCTAAGAGACATAATATCGGCATGCTCCTTCGTAGGTACGGGAATAAGGATGTCGTGGTTTTTCCCTTACCAGCTTTCGGTCTCTGATTTCATGCGTGTAAGTAGTAACAAACAAGTAGTATTGTTTCAGCACTAAGAGTGCAGGCTAATCTCCGCTCCCCGCTCTCCTAACCGCATACTCTCTTCTCTCCTTTCCTCTTTCTCCAACATCACCTTCCCTGGACCCCTCTTCTCTTATAATCACATCCCACAGTGCCACGGCGTTCAGCGTGCATCAGATCCTGGTGGTGGGTCGGAGGGATTTCAGTGCGTTCGGCAGCCATGGAGCCGCGGATCACGTCTCGCTGAAGCATTTCAATACACTCACAGACGCCAAATCCTACCTCCAGGTTGGTTCTTGAGGCTCCTCGTAAGACTTTGCAGCGTCTTTGATGCGCGTCAAACGATTTCAGTACGTTCGGCAGCCATGGGGCCGCGGATCACGACTCTCTGAAGCATTTCAACACTCTCACAGACGCCAAGACTTACCTTCAGGTTGGTTTCATTATTCTTGTGAGTTTTTGTCATTACACTAAGTTTTGTCACTGCATTATTTCTTGTCTCTATAATATTAACAACATTTCTTGTCATCACTGCGCTCTTGTCATTACACCATCCTTCTTGTCATTGCACCATTTTTGACGTGATGCCATTCTTTCATTACATCATTCTTGACATTACACCATTTTTATCATTATGTTTGCACCAATGCTCCTTTCAAACCGTCCCTTGTGCTGATGGTACGCTGTTGCCATTCATTATCTGTTTCCAAGTCATTCCAGTGTCCTAGTGATGTCATGCCAATGTCGTATCATTGGCGTGCACTGACTTTGCGATATCATGCCAGTGACATGGCAAAGTCATGCGCGTGCCATACTGACTTCATCTTGTTAACAACTCTGCCTTCGTACTTGTAATGTTCACGCACGCCATGCCATGTTGTGTCTACCCGTCTCATGCCATGTTGTGTCTACCCGTCCCATGCCATGTCTACGCATCTCAAACCATTTCCATTGTATGTGGGCAGTAGGAGAGGGAGTGCAGCATATGCGGGGTGGAGATCGTGGACAATGCACGCCCCATACAGTCACATCCATTCACTGGCAACACCGCTTTTCTCCTTGGCAATGAGGTATCTATCATCTGCTCTACCACACATCCCCCTCTCTCATGCCATTTTGCTCATTCTTCCACCCTCGCATATACTCTTACAGACTTTACTCCTCTTCCATCTTCCCTCCCCAAAGGGCAGCATTATGCAAATTACACTCTTGAGCAACAGGATCAACACTGTTAAAGCATCATCTTAAAAGAAAGTTTGCATTAAAAAGAGCCTCCTTGTGTAAACTGGTTCTCTGCCCTCTCCTTGCCCTTTCCTGCCCTCGCGCAACTCCCACCAGGCACAGGGCTCTCTCCCACGGAGCTAGCAGTGTGTGACTCGTTTGTCTACATCCCACAGCACGCCCGGCTTTTGGCTTGACTCACGAGTCACCTCCGTCCATCACCCCCATCCCACCAGGGCACGGGGCTCTCTCCCACAGAATTAACAGTGTGTGACTCGTTTGTGTACATCCCGCAGCATGGCCCCGGGACCGCGTCCCTCAACGTCATTGTCGCTGCCTCCATCGTCCTGCACCACTTCGCTGGTGAGCTGGTGTTGGCATATCTTACAACTCGCACATGAATCTTTGTGACAAGAGCTCTATTCTGCAGTTTATTTTGAACCACACCATGCACCCCACCATGCACCCCACCATGCACCCCACCATGCACCCCACCATGCACCCCATCATGCACCCCACCATGCACCCCACCATCCACCCCACCATGCACCCCACCATGCACCCCACCATGCACCCCACCATGCACCCCACCATGCACCCCACCATGCACCCCACCATGAACCCAGTCATGCACCCCTTATGCAGCTCCTCATGCTGTCAATGTCTTGTCCTGCTAGGATGAATGCTACAAAATTTGCCTTGGAATCGTACGCTACAACTGCCATACGTTCTTTGCTTCTTGCATCCCCTTCCTTAATCCAGTTTGGGCACAGTACTCTGAGCGGGAGCGAGAAGGTGCTAAATTCTCAGTGGCTGCCCGGCCACTGAGAAGGGGCCCTCGAAATCGCTGCCCTGAAGATCCTGCTGAGCTGGCCGCTCGACGGCAGAGCAGGCAGGATGCAGCAGAGGGTGACACGTGGCAGGATATGGAAGATGGTTCTTTGGGATTGCTGGAAGGGGAGGAGGAAGGGGAGTCATGAGCCTTCTCCCTTGAGACAACTGAACTGAGGTGTTGTTTCTGATTTGCCATTACAATGCATGGTGGACTGATGCACTTTTGCTTCCTTGCAGCTCATACATATCTGTACCAATAGCCTCCATTATCCATCTGCTGGCCTTCAGCTTGACATTGGTCCAGTAGAGAAAGCTACAGTACACGAGGTTATGATGCTCAGCCCAATAAGGTATCAATCTAGCTGAACGTTTCCGACTGGAATGAATCATTCTCCTCTGCTCACTACCAGACTGCCTGCAGATTATGTGGTGGAGAATTTTAGGGCCCCATTGAATACACAACATGCATCCACTCAGTACAACCAGCGCCTACACTGATCTTTTCCCCAGCAGTCTACACACTGGCGGTTGGGCATGCAACATTTTGTACCTTCTATGCAGTTCCTCATCATCAGTTCTACCCCGTCAGATCTACCCCATCCGTCAGTACTGCCCTGTGTTCCACATCCATCCGAGCGTCACTTCTGCTTCCTTGCACCCCAAGCCACGCGCCATTTTGAACCTGACACACAGTGAACGCGAGCATCCGAGGAGGTTGCAGGAGGATACAAGTGATTCAGTTGGCAAGTTGGTCTCCATTCAGAGCACCAACAGGCAGCAGTATGCAGCCTTCCGCCATCACACCAGATGGATGATGTTCGGCAATGCTGATGCATGCAGGTACACAGAAATGAGTTGCACATAGAAACACATGCATGCCACTACATCCATCCACCATCCGCCACGCACCCATGCCACAGCACGCATGCATCCACACGGCCATACCACATCATCCATGCCACTACATCCATACATGCATGCACCCATGCTGCTGTGCCGACCCATGCCACAGCAAGCATACCATCGGATGGCCTCTTCAATGCTCGGCTTCCCCGTGCCCTCCCCATCCAGGTACATGTACCCCAGCAGCAGCTGCCAAGAGGGGCAAACAGAGCAACGCATCAGCCTTCTCATTCAGAGTTCGTCTAAGAAGCTCACAGCGGCAGCACAAAGCAGATCATCAACACATCATCGGCACCACATCAGCCTGGGCAATCAGGGTATGTCTCAGACACTCACAGCAGCAGCAGCAGTAGCAGCAGCAGCAGCAGCAGCAGCAGCAGCAGCACGGAGCAGAGCATATCAGAGCGGCTCAGATCAGCCGCACCTGTTCATTCAAGATACATTCAGATACTCACAGCAGCAGCAGCACCGAGCACAGGATCCGCCTGGGCGTTGCGAGCCGCACGCAGCAGCCACGCCAGAGCCTCCTCCTCGTCCCGCGGCCATTCCCCATCCCCTCTATAGTACGCCTCGCCCATTCGATACTGGCTCCCCTGGTGCCCCATTCTCGCCGCCTTCCTGTACCACTCCAGCGCCCTCTGCTGCTCCCCCCTCGCTTCCATCACCCTCGCCATAATCACACACGCATCCAGGTTCCCTGCTTCAGCTGCCCGGACGACTAGTAACGGGGGAAGGGGACATGGAGCGGGGGAGACCGTGAGGGGGACTCCAGAGAGGTGATTGTAACGAAGGGTGACTGTAGGAGAGGCGAGTGGTGAGCGGCGAGGAGAGATAGTGAACGGTTCTTGGTGGTGGGTTAGGCGAGCCGGCAGAGTGGGTAAGCGCACATGGGAGCGGATGGGTTGGTTCCTGACGCGCCTTGAGTATGGGATGGGATGGGACTGCCCATCGCACTGGTCATCCGGTGCAGGCTGATCTGTCGGGTCGTTCTGATTCAACTGAGCAAATGAATTTGGCACCGTCGTCACTTGCAAGCTCGTAGCTGCTGCTGATGAAATCGGTGGTGGCAGTGATTGTACTGCAGGTGCTGCTGTTGCAGGTGCTGCTGTTGCTGGTGCTGCTGTTGCTGGTGCTGCTGTTGCTGGTGCTGCTGTTGCTGGTGCTGATCCCGATGCCACTGCTAATCCTGCTACTGCCGTTGGTGGTATTGCCGAGGGGCCGTTCCATACTGTTCCACTGGCCGATGACCAGGGATAGGAAACGGTCACTCTGGGCCTCGGTACAGTCACATTCAGGAGGAGGTGCTGCCAGACACAGCAGGAGAGAGGGATCTATTCGTTAGAAGCAAGTGTGCTGATTATGATCAGCATGAACAGGGACCAGCGAGGAATGAAGAATGAGGAGTTTGCACAGGACATGCGGCACTCACCTTGTTGCTGCTGACGTGGCAGCGCCACGCCTTACAGACAGCGGCGCAACTGATGAGGTCAGCGAAGGAAAGGGCGAGGAAGATTCGCTCGGCGACGTCGTAAGGGAGGAGGGAGGCCAGGCACAGCGCCGGGGGCGGCGGGGGATGCAGTGACAATGATTCTCTAAACGGCGCACAAGGTAGAGGAGGCGAGGGGTGGAGGGTAGATGGCTTTAGAGACGCTTCAAGCGATGGTGGGGAGGGGAGGTTAGTAGGTGTAGATAGCTGTTGACACGTTACGATAGAGAGGGGAGATGGTGGGTCAAGTTTGGATGGATTTGAAGGCGGCTCGAGCGCCTGGGTCGAAGGGGGGTCGAAGAGTGCGTGACCCTGGCGAATGGGGTGTGATGCGTTGTGGTGGGGAAGCGGGGAAAAGAGGGGCGGAGGGGGATGCGCAAGGGCGGGGAAGGATGCGGAACGACGACAGGAAGAGGAGGATTGGGGAAGAGGCTGTGGGGAACGGGGGAGAGGAAGGGAAGAGGAAGAGGCGGGAGGATATGGAGGGGAGGATTTTGCCCTCGTGGAAACAGAGGCGCTGGCGGCGGCAATGTGCTTGCATTGAGCGGTCTCGCTATTGTCACATTCGTTAAAGGCGCTGTCATTTGAGTCACACTCTACTGCTAGGGCGTCTCCGTAAATGTGGGAGATCCGCGCAAGCCTCCCCGCGCGCTCGTTGATCTCCGCGCTGCTAGGCGCAATCGCCCAGAATACCACCAGGCGCGGGCAGATCCGCGCGGAAAACACCTGTGCCGATGCGGGCGCGCCGATCGCCGAGAGCAGCTCGAGTTGCCACGTGGCGGGATCTTGTTGGTGCGCGGGAAGCAGCAGCTCGTGCGGAGGCTCGGAGTAGTTCGCGGGGAGCAACGTCGCGCGGAGATGGCGCGCTGAATTGGCGGAAGAGTGGCACGCGGAGGGAGAACGAGAGCGGATCCCGGAAAGCGCTTCGAAGCACCTCCAGGGAGCCGTATCGGGGATCTTAGAAGCGGCGCACTCCTCGCCACGTGGACTGGAATCTAATAAGCTCTCTGGTGCGGCGCGTCGACGAAGCGTGAGTGCCATCTCGACCGTTTAGTGCAAAGAAGAACTGCAGCAGCCTAATCAACCTCTCAATAAAAGCGAATATGCCCACACTTTGCTAAGAGGCACCAAATGCTAACGATAACACGAAATGTTTCAAACAATCTTACAATGCTTCCCAGCCTTCAGACTTGCAAGTCGAGTGACAAGTTCAGCAGCACGTAATTTTGCCAGTCCGAGCAGCCACTATGGGTATATTACGACAACCAGCGGTAATGCGCGTTATATCACGGTTCTCTACAGATTCCAATGAATTGGTCGACTCCATTTTCTCGTCCACGTAGACCCAGATTCGCGAACAGAACAGTCGGAAGAAATGGCACAGCGCATTTGCGGGATTGGTGGTTACCCGCCACCTGTACTGTAGTCCACCCCTTCAGGGATTTTTGGGATATGGTCGGTTCATATCTGCGCCTGCCGTGCTGCTCGCGTCGCGAAATTCTGGAGCTGGTCGATGTCAGTGACTTGCGGGGCGGACAATTTTCCCACCAGTGCAGTTCAGCGATCGTGTACTTCGCATATCTCCTGTAACCAGACTGATCACCTTCGTGAAACATCTAATGCGAACTCGTTTATCTGACGTGGCAGTCTCTCAGCCACAATTGTTCCTGAGCCTCGTGGAGCCACCAAAGCCCTCGAGAAAATCCACTAGGACGTGACGTCAAGTATCACCCACGTGGCACGACACCAGAGTCCTATTACACGAACCAGGCCAGACCAGGCCAGATTTCTTCCACCACCTAGGAAACCAAATTCAGAATGCCATAAAAACAGAAAGAGCATGCCATCAACAAGCCAATTCCATTTGGACTGATTAAAGCGTAAATCTTGCTTCTGCATTCTTCTCAGGCGCTAGTAAGATCAGACTGTTGCTGCGACTCATACAAGCCTCTGCATTGTCTTAGCAAAACTACCTTCTCGTGTTCTTCTGAAGGTGGTTTTTTCGGTCATTTGGATTCGTAGACACTATGGCCATGGCCACTCGATCTCTCCTCCATTCCCATTCTAGTCGCTTAGCTGTCCAACCGTCAGGACTTGTCACTTTTAGCACTAATTTCCAACAGAATGCCGTGTTTTCTCAATCCAGACAGCTAGACCCCGCCACGGCTGGCGTCATACGTGCTGAGCTCTTCGCTCATCAACCTAAAGCTGTCAATACCGTCATATCCCAGTCTAGAAGGAAGCATCGCCGAAGCATAACTCGCGCTGCGGGAAGTACAACAGGGATCGAATTCAGCAAGACTGACGTGGCAGAAGTAGCGGAAGGCGCGGTGCCGCCAGCTGTGATCGACGACCTTATCGCGTTCCTTCAACAAGAACTGCCGAAGCTGTTCGTGGAAGGGGTAAGTGACATCAATATTCTCTGACTGTTACCATGACCACTACTGGACCAGTAATCGCGAACAATGCACTGCTTTTACCGGCGTAGGTTGTTGTTGCCGGGATGTATTATTCGATACCATAACCTATAATTGTTCGAATCCTTCCAATGCTTTTTCAGGGCATGAGCTCGGCGCGCTTTGCGGACAAGGTGGAGTTCGAGGACCCCATAACGCGGTACGACACGCTGGCGGGATATCTCTTTAATATCCAGATGCTGCGGTACCTGTTTCACCCCGTCTTCATTCTCCAAGACACATACCAGGTATGCACCATAGCTCCGTAAACCAAGTAGGCTCTGATTGATGATCCATAACAGGTTAAATGTTAACTTTCAGATAATTTTACTACCACATTGTTACCACCCGATCGTACAGCACAACACAGCTGCGGCGATGGTTCGGACGGTGCACTCATGACATCACCTTGAGAGGTTATACATAGCACACACGTTTAAGTGAACAACCACTCGTGGAAGCCACTCGCGGTAGCCACAAACGCTACAATCTAGTATTAGAACCTACATCCCTCCCTTTCTTGTGCCACCACTGACATGTTTTCACATTGGCTTCACTTCAATCAGTGCCGTACACTGGAGCGCGTCACACGATGAAAGGTGTAGGTGTGTTTCTGGCTGCTCCCGTGGCGACTCCTCGTCACTCCTGGCCCATTCCCCCTCTTGCCGTTTTGTGGGCAACCCTGACGGGTTTTCCCTCCTCACGGGGTTTCCGCTTTCTCCTGTCCCACTTTCCCAATCTCACCCCTCCAGTCCGGCCCAGCGGAGATCACAACGCGATGGACGATGAAGATGTACTTTTGGCTACTGCCATGGCGCCCAGAGGTGGTCTTCACAGGCCTCTCAATCTACGGCATCGACCCGCGCTCGCAGCAGTTCATCAGTCACAGGGACGTGTGGGACTCCATTCAGGACAACGGCTATTTTTCCCAGGAAGGACTTCGGGATTTGGTGAAGCAGTTGATGACGCTCTACTCGCCGCCCGCCCAGCTCAACTCCCCAAAGTTTGGCGTTCTGCTGCGGAGGGCAAGCTATGAGGTGGGTGTGTCCGCGTGTTGAATAAAGAAGCGGGGCTAGAGTGGGAGGGGATGCCTTCTTCTCTCATGAGGGGTTCAGGTTTTGCTTGAGAAAGGCGACGTCTTTTACTACGGCGGGAAAACTAATACAGAAGAAGAAACAACAACAATGCTGATGCTGACTGTACACTCGCTGCCATGTTAGCTGAGTTTCTCTGAATTTAATGTGTCATGGCGGCAAGCAATCCACGAGGTGGGTGTGTCTCTCCACCTCCCTCTCCCCCATTGAATAGCTGGCACAAGAATTCATGTGTCTGTGTTTCTCGCTCTCCATCTCATCTATCAGCAACTATAAACTCCCATCCTCGTCTCATTCTTTCTCCATTCTCCCCCTCTCAGTGTGTTTGTTATTCCCTTCCCTGTGTGTCTCTCATTCCCCTCCTCCCCCCCTCCCCTTTCCTCCAGGTGAGGGATTACCCTGCCTACCAAGTCGTTCAGGTCAACTCGCCTGTCCAATCAGCAACGGACATCTGGCCCACTGCTCCTGGCACTCCTCCCAGTCCACAAGTGGAAAAGCTGAAGAGGTATGTCGCTGGTTTTGAGTCAGAAGCTGTATAGGTGTGTGTTGTTTTGTAGCCGGATCAAAATAAGTATAGGTCACATCTCACTGTTCTTTGTGCAATGATAAACGTTTAGAGGTAATTCTCTGTTTTGCTGCTACCAGATGCAGGGCAGTTACTAGCCATACTTTCTCTCTAAATCTTGTGATTCATCTTGTGATTCTTCCCATTCCAGGTACTTCCAGGGAGCCAACAGCCAGAGGAAAACTATTCCCGAGGGCCCCCTCATGATCATCAGCCCTCCAGAGTCTGCCAGGCAGGATAGAATATTAGCGATTGCCGTACCTCTCGACGCTGATGCGCCCACTCCGACCGATCCTGACCTGACTGTTGCCACAATGCCACCTGGCGCGTGGGCGGCTGCATCATTTGGTGGTCTGCCATTGGTGGAAACATTCTCGTCAGCAGCTGCTGCTCTGCGGGCTGATGCCACCTCTGATGGCTTGTTGTTGGCCTCAAGAGGAGCCGGCTCAGACGGGTCTACAGCTGCCCCGGACAACACTGCGACAGATGCAGTGAAGGGAGGCACGGGGTTGGGGGGTGCTGCTTCTGCTCTGGTGTCCTACCCAAGTGGGTCTCCCATTCCGTTCCTCAAGGTACGTAGGGAGGCACTTATTTTGCATGCACTTCTCGCTCCAATTGTACCACCCATGCTCAATTCTCACGTGTGTTCTCGGAGTGCTTGTGCAGAGAAACGAAGTGCTCTACAGATTGGAAAATTTCTCGTTGGAGTCTGTCGGAAAGCAGATTTCTTGTAGCTAGGATATTTTATGTCAAACCGTTGTAATGATGCATGTGTACGGTTTAGGTATGCGCTTTGTATGTGCATGCGCCATCTCGA